TAGTAGGGTGATCTCTGAAGTAGCTTTATATGACTTTCTCTTCATACACAATCATTCAATTTGGCTGTCAGGAATGGGCTTTACGAAAACATAAAAATATTCAATTACGGTAGGACTAGACTGGTTGACAGTATTGTTTAGTCTTGAACCACCAGTGATTAACAGCTGATGAAGGTTCTCCAACATTCCATAACTACATGTATAGTATTATATTTGGGAGTTATTGGGAAATTGTAAATGTTATCTCTAGCTCCAGTCCAATACACTCTTCGGGGCTTTGCACAAGTAAAAATAGCTTCAAAATGCAAAATTTTCAATACATTGGATTTGATTAAATCACAAATTAATGTGGCAAGGTTCAGCGCTCAAAATTAACTATGGCAAACGACAAAACCGTGGTAAAAGCCGAAGCAACGCCCATCTGCCACGTCATGGCGTGGCATAATTTTTTTTTTTTGCTGTGGTAGATCTTATGATCCTAATAATGACTAATGTACCGGTTATAGAATAGTACCAGGAGGATGTCGTCTGACCGTGTAATAACGTCAATACATATTTTGTTGATCATTTTGTATAGAAAGTTGGACAAATATATAGCAATTATTGAATACACTTTTAACCCATGTGCTGTAGGCCTATCCATGCTTTACCGTTAGTGGTGTTGTTTTCAACAATTATAAACTAAGCTTGACATAGGGTGCACAGACTTTTGCCTTAACAATGTTACCATTCTCGTCATTTGTATTTTTAACTATCGTTAACTGGACTGATTCACACCCTTTGTTTATAATTACTACACCCTATGTAACGGAGCATAAAAGTTCATATTTATTTTCTTGCTATTCTTTCAAACCAAAATTACATAAAATAGATCTGTTTTAGCGTTGTAACTAAGGCTGGGAATCGATATGAAATTTCAATATCGATTATCGGCAAGAATTTGTCAGCGATTATCGATAATAATCGATTATCATTCTTCCGGAAAAACCGAACTTTACCGACCTGTTATTTGTGTTGATCGAGTTACAGTAGTGTTATTATCCTAGTCTGATACTGTGCCGATGTACGTAAAAAAATCAATTAATGTAAAATAATTAGTTGCTAAATGTAGGATTAACTTGAGTATTATTCTAAGTTTTGTTCTTGATTCATTTGAATCTTTTTTTTATTCCAATATCTCCGATAAATACAAAGACAATACATGGTTTCTCTTTGCAAGTTACTGGCGATCACACAGTGTTACTTATAATAGAATAAAAAAAAAGAAGGCGTCAATTGATTGGACAATAAAAAAATAATTACCGGCTTTCAAAGTAGAATTTTTATGATTGGTTAATTTTGACGAAAACCAAAGTAGAATTCTTCCAAGAAATTACGAGAGATATAGATATTTTCCCGGGAAGTCAAAAACGTGTTTTGTATGGGCTGTATCTGACATGATTTAGTAATAAAAGCTGAGTTGATCATTAATAATACAATTAGTTTTATCGTGAAAGCAGGCAATTTGTCTACAAATCAATCAAGAGCAAAGAAGGGAGATAATTCTAATTTTACTATATCACGTGCGATCGTCATTGTTCACAAAGTGCGTGACCTATTTTAGTTTCAACTAGTAATAACAACAAAAACAACGAAAATATCAAAATAATGCATTTAATCTTAAAGTTTAGTTTTTTTTACAATAATATATATTTAAAATGTGCCAGTTTGTAAGCAGAGGGGGAAAATAGTTGTTGTGTTGACGTTGTGTATTCGTTCATTTGTCTGCATGCCAGACTACGGCAAGTTCAGTCATGTGAAAGTGACCGTAACTTGCCGTCAGAAGGTAAATATACCGATAATCGATATTTGAATTTCAATATCGATTATCGTATCGCTAATTAACTTCTACCGATTATCGATTATATCGATATTTTTGCACAGCCTTAGTTGTAACTATAATATGCCAAACAAACAAATCTTAAATTCATTTCATAAACTATTCACATGGATACACGTAGCTTACTTCCACTCTTTTTGACACTCATCTGACATCTCACTCTAATTCTCATCATTTCTGATTCCATAATGGGGATTAGAAAAATAATCATCGATAACTGGAATCCAGATAGCATTATTGGTTATGAGTTACAATCCGATGACAGTAATTTTGTCAAACTTATTTACTGCAAAGTATATGGCAGTTTTCTTTTTTACTATTTTTAGTAACTATACTAACGTCCAAAAGAAAGTATACACTGTGCATTTTGTGCTGCATCAATCAAAGTTGTTTTTCCATGGTATACGGTATTTGGGTAGAATGTAAATTTGTTTCACATTTTTATTTTGCTTAGAAATGTTAGAGTTTGGGCGCAAGAGACAAACTCAGTAATGCTTTATCAAATGTTTGTAATCTAAACAAAACTTAGTCATACTTTTAGTGTGTATACTTTCTTTTGGACATCAGTATATTAAAGGTATATATGTAATACCACTTACATTAGTTTTGTTTATCTTTTGTATAATAAATAAATTTATCTATTTTGAAAAGTTAAGAAAATTATTGATTTTGATGTACAAAAAATTATTTAGAGGACTGAGGATTCACCTTTATTTCAATGGAAATTGGTATGTGCAGTACTGTTTGGGAACAGTTTAATTTGAAATTAAGGGAGTTATTGGCCAGTAACCTTTTTGTAATAAATGATTATAAAAGTTGCTCAAGTCAAAGTAAGTCCTTAGAACGATCCACTACTGTGGCTGGAGCAAGACAAAAGTGGAGCCATTTCTAGGTTATCTCATAGTATAACGGCCAAACAATATTAATTTAATGAAAAACAATATATTTTACCAAATATTACTTACCTTTGATAAAAAAGACAACTGCCTATTAATCATTGGACAAAAATAACAGTTCACTCATAACATGATCAGTTGAACATAGTTTCAACTAATCATCCTATCCAATTAAAATGATCTTTGATAATCTCTTTGATTTGTGGTCATTAACTAGTATCTTTGGCTTCACCAGAATTATGTCAAGAGCTTGGTCTGCAGGTAAATGACTAACTTATTTTAACTGGTACTTAATTTTAACTATTTCTGTAGTATTTTTTATAGTGTGCTTTATTAATTAATTTATTTTTTATTCAGAAAAAGTAAAGAACACATAAAGCCATGTCAGAGTTTGTGAGAAAACTGATCATGAGCCATTTCTACCAAAATCACATACATGCATTGGAATTGTTCATACAGCTGAATCGAAGACTGAACGGAAAATATCAAATGTCAATGGATGGACCATTCGGTTTTCAAAATTTCATCATGGTCCGTTAGAAACCAGACCATTCAGACTAACAATCATGTTGAAGGTGAGCATCTTTGATTTATGCAATAAATATTTGTTTTTAACACCCTTAATAAACATTTGTTTTTAATACCCTTAATAAATATTTGTTTTTAATACATGTATCCTAATAAATGCATTTTTATTTTCTGGATGCCACAGATGGATCAATAACACGACTGGAGAGCAGAAGTTTGGGCTTTATAAATTGGTAAATTTTCTTTATAATAAAGTCCAACTTCTGCCCCTTCACTCAGCTTTGATGTGTGAAGGAAACTTTGTAGAGTGTATATTAAAAAATAGTACAGAACACCAATAAGAGATATTTAATTCATAGAGTAAATACAGAGATGTCAATATTAGTGTTTCGATGCTATTAAGGATTTGTACCAGGGTACATGTACATGGTCCAGTCATGTAATATGAACTCTTGTTAGATATCAGTAAAAATTTTATGTACAATTTTATACAGTGTATTACGGTTAGATATATTAAAATAAATATTATGTATATACATATATGTTAGATACATGTGTGTATCGAAATAAATTTTATGTATTATGTATGTTAGATATGTATTGAGTTAAATTTTATGTTAGATGAGATATGTTGTCAGTATGTCTGTGTAAATTATGTATTTTATATTATATTCTGTAGTATGTATAAATGTTTATGTAAATTTACGTATTATATTAATATCTATGTAATGTAGGTATTTATATCACATGTATGCTATATTTATGTTAATAAATATCATTTCATACATAATGTAACAAATTGGTTTTTTTTCGGCCATTACATGTATGTCCATAACCCATATTGAGTGGCAACTGGCATGTAGTATGTATTGCATGGGTTTATATCTGAGCGTACATGTACGGTTTATTAACTTTTTGATAATTACTTCCTTATGTCAAACTCTCTAAATTAAGATTTCAGTTTTCAATATGTATGCCCGTCTTCATTAGTTTGATTAGACTGGAGCAGAAAAGCTGGACATTAAACCCCCTTTCATTTCATAAGTAGGAGACAGAATGCAGCATTTTGTGGGAGAAACGACCTGGATCTACCGGTATAGCGTTTCGGATCTGCAACCTTAAAGGTACCTTTCTCCTTAGACTCCACACAAACAACTGTTCTGACTTCATTCAATCATTGTTTGTTGAAGAAAACTGATTTTATTCATTATTTTTTTTAATGAAATGGTGGACCGATTCAAGCATCTTCCAGTTGTATTTCAAGAATTAAAGAATACATAAATATACATGTACTCAATTCATAATTTAATTATTTATGCAGAAAAGGCCAAAAAGCATGTTTCAGTGTTTTTAATAGGCCCTAATTAAATTTGTACAGTTTTTATTTTTGCTGTTGATATTTTAACTAGAAAGAAAACCAATTGAATAAATAGCTATCTCAAATAGCGAGAACTTTTTAACTTCTACTTACAACGCCTGATATTGAAAGCTGACCATTATTAAAACATACACTGTGATAAATTCAACCTAAATAAAAATATCAAGCCCAATGCAATAACCACTACGAGGTCGCCATTTTGAAACCACGTCTTTCTGCTCGAGTCGAAAAACAAGTGCGCGAAATTGAACAGATAAAAACGAGTGCTTCTGGCCTCCATAAATGCTAAAATTCAACGCATCCATATTAACTAACTTACTTTAGATAATTATTCAGTCTTTTTGACAATGAACAAAGTCTGTTAAACTGAAAAAATTCGCGTAATACTCTTCAAACGACCACAATTTCTTCTAATTTCATTGTCTCCATCCCGAACTTATGCAAATGTTTGCTGCGGAAAAATATGTGTAAACAATTAAAAGATATTTTTTATAACAATAATGTGGTATGGTGAGAAAAGTAATATAGAATGTGAATAATATTTTATTGAGATATTATTTTTGTAAATAAATTTTATTAATTTTCTGCGATACTAAAATTGTTTACAGACAACCAACATGGCGGCAAATTGTCTGCATTTTACGTTCTTGATTCTATTTTTTGGTCGTTGTACATGGTCACAGTCTGTATTTTTCGATTTTAAAAAGCCTTCTGATTGTCAAAGTGAAAATACTCCTAATGTCCCGCAATATTATGACATATCGACATTATCATGTAAAGACTGTTCACAACCTAAAACGTTTCAAAGGACGAGCTCTGATGGTAAGAACTTAGAAGGAGAAATGTGGCTTGTCAGAACAAGTCGTCAAGTCTTTTAAAAACCACAGGCACTGTTGCTCAGTGCTGAATTTCGACCTTTTGGGATCCACGTGGGAACATTTCAGGTTCAGGGGCCGGCAACATAGAAATTAAATAACAATGGACATAAATAAATAAGAGAACTAAAATTAGTAGATAAAATGTACCGCCACCGGTACTATATGCATATATTCAATGACAATCATAAGATAAACCGTGGTCAGTTCCCCCAAAATATGTGATTTCATTTTTGTCAACTTTAACTTGACTACATCTTTCAGTTTTTAATAGAATATCAATTGATACTCTCTTGAATGGTCGATTGATGGAATTTTCTTTTTCAGAATAAGTTAAATCTGGTTGCTTAAAGGAGCTAAATCGCTAACATTTGGGACCTAGAAATTGACACAAGTGGGTCACAACTCATCTAATACTGTAATATGAATGTATATAAACCGATATACATTCAATGGTTTTCGTTTTTACTCTAATTTCAAATCAGTTATGTTCCGCGAAATAAGCCTGCAGTCTCAATCGAATGCAAATTTCTAGCGCCTGGTTATTCCAGTCTACATACGCCGTTTGGTTTGGTGCAATATGTCTAGCCTCGTTCCTCAAGTCTCTTGCTAGAACTGGGGCTGAAACGCATTATGGTACACGATTTGTGTACCAATGGCCAAATGTTTATTTTGTCTTAAATATTGGATATCAGAAGCCCATCTTTTTCCGGTAAGATCACAGCATCAATGTTGATGTAAATTGACAAATAATTTGTGTTTTCAATGTTGAAGATTTTGGATGATATTCAGTTAGAGACTTAGCTACTTTAAATGAATGGATTATGGAATTAGTGGCCGTAAATGTAATGGTCAAATCAGCCAAACTTTGTGAAAAAATATTTTTTAGTAGTTTAAAGAAACTTGTGAAGAAATTAATATTTTACAACCGCATATTATCTTCCCTTGTATGATTTATCAAAGACTGTTCACTGTAATAAGGTTGTAATTTATTACAACAAAAGCTACATGCATAGATGAAATTTTTTATATTTGTCTTAGCATAATGTTCAAATAACATCATAGAATCAGCCAATTATATGAAAAACACAGTACATGCATGCACACATAAAATTATTTTTTGGCCGTTTTGATCAAATTATTGTGGTTTTGACAAAATGTTTGGCTGCTATTATTACCAAAGTCGAAGTGAATTATGACCACATCCCAATCATGCTCTTTGTACATGCACACATAAAATTATTTTTTGGCCGTTTTGATCAAATTATTGTGGTTTTGACAAAATGTTTGGCTGCTATTATTACCAAAGTCGAAGTGAATTATGACCACATCCCAATCATGTTCTTTGTATTTTACACATATTCTAGATTTTTTCTCAATGATACTCTCCTGTATTTGTAAGCATCACTTTTGCGATAAGGCAGACCAAAATTAAAATTCTCTGGTATGCCATTTGTGTTATACACTAGAATAATGCAATGTTTTGGTTTGGTTGTGAGTTTGGTTTGGGTTTGTCTCCCTTGTGAGTTTGGTTTCATTTTGATTTAAGTGTGGACAAGCCTGGAACTGTAATCGCATATTTATCACACTTGTATGTTTTTATACACGCCTGTCCGTCCGTCCACAATTGTTTGTGAACACTTTACAGGTCACAATTTTTATCTGATTTCAATGAAACTTTAAATATAGGTTTATCACACAGGCACTTGAAGGGATTAAAATAAAATTTCTTACTACTGCTTGACTATATATTATAGTATATAAAAGGTATTTCAGACGCCATCTTTGTTTACACGTCTTCAAGACATTTCTTCTGCTATCACCTCACAATACTCACTAGTTCTAACACTTCCCGTTGTTTTTATTGCCAACGAGACCTTATTTGATCATTATTCAGCTTCCGATGTAATTAAATTGGTCATTTCACAGCGTTATTAATTACAAATCAAACTTGAAGCGCTATCACTTGCCGAAAAGCAACTTGAACAGACCGGAAATAACACGAAATCAGGTCAATGACGTCGTGTTGTGGAAACCCTTATTTTTGATTGGTCAAGGCGTGTTACTAAAAATAAAATTGACTGTCACAGCTGACCGCGAATTATGAATGTCAGAATGACATCGGGCCGAAACTGAGGGACAAAATGGCTGCCCCTCGTTCGCAAATAGTGGCAAAATATTGTGTATCAGGGTTGTGGACCCTCTGGAGGTCACAATTTTCATCTGATTTTGATGAAACTTGAAATGCATGTTTTTAACCCAAATATCTTGGTTCCTTTCGATTTTCGTACATATCAGATCGTAACTTCCTGAATTATGGCCTCTAGAGGTCACAATTTTTATCCGATTTTTATGAAACTTAATACATTTCTCTATATCCCAAACCTCTCAGTCCCTTTTGATATTTGCACATTTCAGGCTAAAACTTTCTGGATTATTGCCCCTGATTGTACAAAAAATCGCATTTGTTTTTAGCTTGTTCTCTATCCAACTCTTGCAAAATGTGGGCGTATCCTGTCTGGCAGCCGCTTGTTTGTTACTTAAGAAAAGCCGGACATTGAAAAGCCAATTTTTATTTCATTCGTCTGTTACAGGACTGCGATGTGAATGTCAACCAGGATACAAACATGTGAGAAATTTTGGAGGTTCAGAAATAACATGTGAAGCCTGTGGAGCTAATCAGGTATAAACTTGTTTTGTATTGGCATCTGAGTTTAAAATGTTCATTTCATTATTTTTAAGATGTTCATCTTATTATTTTTTGTGTTTAATTTAGTTTAAAGGCTTGATGCGTCTTTTGCATTTTTGCTTTATACACACTAAATGGACTCAGATTGATTATTTAACATTTTTAAAATTAAGGAAATAAAATCAAAATACCAACTAGATAATCTCCTGGCATGGATGGAATCGGATTTTAACAGGTTTCTCAGCTATCGATTAAAGATGGCGGCAGCATGATACACTTGAGCAGCATAGATCAATGAAATTTCAATTTGTCATAGCATTGTAAAATCTGAACGGAATTGAACCATTTTTGGACTGATATTTCATATTCAACTTTCACAATAATTTTCAATATTGTAGTTTGCAAGGGATTCCTTTGTCTTTAATTCCCCTATAATAAAGATAAAGCAAGATGTAATAAAATGTGTACCGGTAGCCCATAGCCTTCAAAATGAATATGGCAGAACATACAGAATATAATAATATAAAAGTACCTTTGTAATAAACATAAAATGATAGACTGTAAGGAGTAAGGAGACATGCACATGATCATTCATTACAACTTGAAGCTATGATGCCAAACTGGCATTGTCACAACAATTTGGAAAGCATGGTGATGCAAGAATCTTCAAAGACTAGGCAGTATGTACTAGCTACCAGTATTTTTATTATTCAGGCTGCATCAGATGATGGATGGGAATGTGTAAATTGTGAAACTGGATTTATTCCAGAAACTAAAACATGTCAAGGATGTCAGCCTTCCCAAGTTTCAGGTAAATAATAAAATCATACATTAAAAATGAGAAAAAGTCAGTTTCTTGTGAACACTCTACAGGCTACATACATCTTCCAACCTTTTTACAATATATATAAGCTTATGTTGTTTGTGCTAGTGAGACAAGTTAGCTTATTGCCCTTGATCACTTTGTATAATATTGTGAACGCTCTGACGAAAAAAGTCATCATCTGTTTAGTTGAAATTTATATGCATTTTTTAGATTGTGAAATGCAGAAGCCCATCAAATTTCAATAATTCCCATAAATAACATCTAGAGTTCTTGACTCTTGTTAAGTTTGTAGAATCTTGTAAATACTCTAGCAACAAAAATTGTCTCATCTGCTTGAAATTTATATGGATTGATAAAATTAATAAAACGAGGAATAATATCAAATTAAACAAAATTTCCCCAAAAGAAGCCGATGGTCTGTCTTCATTTTGTAGAAATTTGGGAGTGCTCATCAGATCCGCTTAAAATTTATATGCATTGTGGCTAGTAAAATGAAGAATTCTATTAGTACTGCATCAACTTCTGATAATTACTGTCCTTAATTATGTCAAATCCCCAATGATAGTATACAGGTTTTGCTTTCTAAGTACCTAAAGATCCGTAATACAACAACCATGGAGACATTTCAGGCTGCTGTTGGCATATGTTTCATTGCCATGCAACCTGTGATTATTCCTGCTTTATTATTTTAACAAATATTAAAGTAGCATATTGACAAACTGAAATGGTTAAGCTAAAAGTTGGTTCTGAATGTGGATATGTTTTGGGGCTGATCCTCAATAGCTAATTCTCAACAGAGTAAAGTCATAAAGATTTTAAAATTAAGGGCAACTGAACTTTAAAAAGAAGAATGTTAATAATTTAATGTTTGAATTACATGCAAAAATGAAAATTTATATATGTTTTATAAACAGAAATCCTGCTTACTTCTTTGTAAATTTATTATTTTGAGTATGATTTTTACAGTTGAAAGGATGGTGGATGGAAATTGGGCAACAATTAACACTACTGTGTGTCAAACATGTGCACCATTTACTTATCTAAATGCTGATGGTTCCAGGTACTTATAGCATATATCATAACATAGGAAAGAGCTACTTTGAATGGAAATGTAACATAAATGTTTTTGAAATATGTCTAATGAATGATTGACATTGTTTTTATCTTTTGTGAAAATATTCTACTGTGAAATATTTTACTGTGAAAATATTCTACATGCATTTGAATAATTGAATTGAACAGTTATTTTCAACCCAAAGACATTCTAACTTACTGCCCAGACCGCTCAGCTACCACAGCCTTTCTTTGAAGAGTGTTCAGATCACATGACTAATGAAAAAATCAACAAAACAAAAATGTTATCTAATATTAATTCGGATGATGTGTCTGATCGATGACAAGAATACTATTTATTACTGTTAGTGAACAATTCTGCAATACACTGAGATAATCATTGCTTGTTTTCAGGTGTGTACGATGCAATGATATTTTGTCAATTAGAGGAGATTTGTCTACTTGTCAATGCCCGAATGATGAAAATGAAAATTCGGTAAGTTATGTGGTTCTATTCATTTAGAGCAACATTTTGATATTACAGCTTATAGATTGATGACTATGTTAGCTTTGTGAATTTATCAAATATATACGTTGTGGTTTCCCCTTGCCAGTGGTGCAGGGCGGAGAGCCTGACAAGAACAGTTGTCTAGTCATTAGGATGGGATGGAAAACCGAAGTCCTGTGTACACATTGGCATGCACATAAAAGATCCCTTTATAGTTGGAATTCGATATAAGAGTAGACCATAGCGCCACTGTCCGGGCAAAATTTCCCTCAAAGCACACTGTATGGCGTATGCCTGTCTTCATTAGCCCATTCGGAGTAGGACGTTGAACCCAGAAACAAAAAGTACAATCTGTGTAATGCAGCTAGTTAGTTTTGATTGCTGAGGTGTATCACAATCTGTTACAAGCAACGACAAAACAAGATCACATAACATCCGCTTCCAATGATATCTCTGACAAGATCACATCAAAAGGGCTATTAATAAAACCATAATGAATATGTATTTGCCTTATTTATAATCCACACCTTTGAACATGTGAGTTATTTGTGAATACATTGAAAGTTGTATATTGCCTTTATTATCACTCAGCACTAGTATTATAAACATGTGATATATGTAAATACACATGTATTACACAGCTGACTCTCGATTATTGGACTTTATATACTATACCTTATACATTGTAGATATTACAATGGGTGGTTGGTGTGTGTATTTACTGTGTATTTATTATAGGATGTTTTTTAAGCTGTATGAGAAGGAATATATTGAATTATTTCTTTTTGTAGGCTGGAGGTTATTGTTTTAACACTGGTGATTTAGCTCCAGACAATAACCAACTTTATGCCATACCTTTAGAGGTAAGAGATTACAGTATATGACCACATATTAAAAGAACCAATTTTGTTCTTCTATATTCCTTATAAATTGTGCTCAGTAATACGGGCAGCTCACATTACAGATTACGACCACCAAAGCCAGTCCCAATCAGTCAGTTCATTGTTTTTGTGACATTGATTGGGATAAGTATTAGTCAATCTAACAACCAATATCAAAGCAATCGAACAGTCAAGATTGATTGATTTCATCGCAGCCATATAAGGCAGGACACTACCTTATAAAACACTCTGTATAGATTGATCTGTCAAATTTTGATATCAGCTAAAATTGCCCAAAATAGTCAAAATTTGCTGATTTTTCAAGTCGTGTCCAACTTTTATATTATATAGTTTTGAATATTTAGTCATTTATATCAAACTTTTAACTTGCTTTTTTCTGTACTCAATTTTTCACCCATATCAGGTCTTAGAAAATCAAATTCTCAAAATCTATTTTGGTTTTTGTTTTATGATGAATAAATACTGTTATAAACTTTGGGTAGCTTTGTTTATGTCACGTGACTTCTCGCTCAATTTTCCAACCAACCGGTATGGTTAGATTTATCCATGCTTTTGTTCAATTTCTATTTTTCTTAACGAATAGTTTATATTGATACTTTGATTTTTCAAAGGAATCATTGATTTTGTGATTGAAATAAATTTTAATAAAGCAGAAATGTGAATAATGCAAACTATATTGAGAGTACCACCAGGTGATTATCAATGTGTCATGGTGGGCTGTGATAAAAATAAATCGCTATTTGACTTTATTAAGCATAAATTATGCAAGAGCTAAATCTTTCTATTGCAAGTCTTTATTTAGGCTTCAGATGTTATATTAATTATGAATTCGACTTTTGTTTACACGACAAGCTTAAAATCAACTCTGTAGACCCACGGATGGCTTGGATACAGTTTGGATTTAAACAGCCTCGTCCATTTAAAATTAAATCAATAAATGGCGGACCAAGCTAACGTTTACCATTACTCGCTGATGTCACAACCAGAAACTGGTGATGAAAAGCCTGCCAAGCGAGGCTACCATAGCCATTGAGAATGTTACTTGATAATTGAGAATATGTGGGTGGAGTTATCGTTTGTCAATCAAATGATCGCCAATTCTCATAGACTGTGAAGACAAAATTGATGCCTATTTCTAGTCCAAACTTCTAACAGTGACAATTCCGTCCAGAACAAAGTACATGTAATTTGACTGAAATTTTCAACATTTTCTTTTTTTATCATCTATTTTTGAATTATTATAGCAAGAATGGCCAACTCCTTATAAAACTCTTAACTAATGTATCTCTAATGGACACCTTTTGAGACAGCACTGATGTTTTATAGTTTAAATTAGTATTACCGGTATTGAATTACAAAATTCATTTTCAAGAATGTATACGCTTGAATGAGAAAAACGAGTTTGCAAGGGTAAATTGATAACCTATCAGTAGTTATAAAAACACACACATGGCCGATAGATTAACACAAACATTTTTATGCGTTTTTCCTTTTTTATGCTTCCGCCATATGTAAATAATCTTAATTAAATCGAAGATCATAATTAATGTATTGAAAGTTCAAATTATAATAAACAACATAGTCTTCGTGGCTAAATAGATCTATACTTTTTAGTAAATGAAATGCGGGTGTATATTTTGTATACAGTAGCGCTACTTAATTTTTGTATGTGGTGGCTAAATAGATCTAAATTTTTTAGTAAATAAAATATGGGTGTGTATTTTGTATACAGTAGGGCTACTTATACCGTTAAGACAGCAACTATTTATTTTGGTGCATGTCTCGACCCCCTGGGGCGGTGTCACACCCACTTTTTTGTTAATATTTAGTCTCTAAATTTGGCAAAACAAACCCAATGCCTAGCCTTCTTTACCTCTTGTCATATTAGAGTCATTGCAGCTATTTCATATTTCATTCTCTTCATTTTAAAAAAATACCATATCAATGAAAGCAGGAATGTGGACTATATTGCAGCGTTAGAGATGCTCTAGTTTAATAATATTGATGACAAAGGGTCACGTGAATACTCGGGGCGTACATCCAACTTTTTATGCATGTTAATTTGCAGTTAAATGGTGATAAACTGAAATTACTTTTACATTACATTATTATTATCTCATCTTAGAGTAATAAAGTAGGCCTATATGTCTATATAATTTACCTAACACTGTTTTTCTTTGAAATTGCCTCAAGTATGCTCACTCAGTATTGAGACCACCCCACTATTAAGACCAAATCTCGACAGTCCCACAGGTGGCCTTAATAGTGGGATTTCTCTGTATTTGATTGTAAACTTGATACAAACTTGGCCTATTTCTATAATTCGTTAGATTTGGGCTTATAAGTTTATCTGTATTATTTGTAAATAAGTTGATCAGAGGTTAAATTTTCTACAAAATATTGAATACATCAAATACAAAAATAGCATTTGAAAACAGGACAAATCTCTATTAATAACTTGATATAGTCAACATCATATGGGATTTAAAATATTGGCACAAATTGTGCTCAAAATTGTGTAGGCCTATATTAAATGAAATGATAATTTTATGATGTGATGATGAGGAAGAATTTATTTTTACATTAGATTTGATATATTTAGAAGTTCATGTCATACATTTATTGTATTAAATGTGTATTTGCAAATATGTTTTTTTTTTTTTTATGTTAATAGGTTGGTGGATCCAAACAATCATATTTCTTCAAACAGAATGTTAGATCAGCAGATGTTATGTGCAGGGTAAGAATTATTTTATACGCATACACTAAGATTGTGGCAGATTCTTATCCCCTTTATATTTATATCTTTAACTTCTTTTGGACAAGCTGGAAAGTAGACTGCTGCAATTGAATTTGATGAAAAGTTGTTGTTAGATCATGAATATGCACTCAGCCTCATATTTTTATCCTCAGAGTTCAGGGGAGAAAATAACCAGGTTCACATCATGACAGCTAGGTAACCAGGGTGGACAAAATTACACCTAGGTCTTCGTTGCTGTTGGGTAATTCCAACATGAAATAATGTTGTCTGCAGTTTGAATTTGTTTAGCATTTTAGGTGTCGAAAATACATTCCACTACACAATTCATGTCATGTGACATCAGTAAGTTATGTACAAAATATGAATAAACAAAAATTAAGATTTTTCAAAATGACATTAACGGCCAAAATTTAATAATATCATAGCTACCGTACTGTAAACTAAACTGTTATTATTATTATTATTTCATTTTTAAAGCACTACATTATAATAATAGTTATTTCTAAGAGCTGTACAGGAATATTAACACAATGGTACGCACATGATTTTATTTATATGAGTCACTAAAAAGACAAGTCTTCAGTTTAGATTTAAACTGAGATAGTACACTCTCTGATGACTCTGGGTAGTTGTTCATTCCAAAGTTTGGCACCCCTAATAGAAAATGGAAACTTGCCCACATGGCGCTGAACGCGGGGAACAGCTAGTAGGGTTTTGTCACGTCCTCAACGAAGATTAGTCCGGCCAGTGTTGTAAACATTAAACATTTCCACCATATAATTAGGAGCTGTTTTGGTTATACTGATTTATAGGTGTTGACGAGAATTTTGAATTTATCCTGGCTCTTACCAGTAGCCAGTGTAGCTGCTTCACATACAATGAGATGTGATCATATTTTGAGGTTACTGTGACAAGTCTTGCAGCATTGTTTTGAGCGATTTGAAGTCTATTAAGGGGTGCTTCTGGTGCTCCAGATAAAAGTGAATTAGCATAATCTAAGTGCGAAATGACCAAGGCTTTGATAACTGTTTTGAGAGCACCCGGATTCAGGTAGTGCCTAATTTTGGAGATAGACCTCATTTGGAAATGCATGCGACTTATGATGTTATGTATTTGCGGTACAGCTGACAAATGTTCATTGGTTAGATATCCAAGAACTTTAACTTTAGATTTTGGGAGGATATCACAGTTTCCAATCTGGATTGCATCAGCTTTTATTAAATTATGTGCTTGCGTCTTAGTTTATATTATCAGAAATTCAGATTTATAATTGTTTAATTTTAGTTTATTGTTCAACATCCATTAACGAATGTCCAAAAGACAATTCTCCAACTTCCTTAGGGATAATGTTATGGAACCGTGGTCCCCAAGAGCAAAAAAAGTCATATTTTACTTACAGACACGAGAGTTATATTTTTTGAATCCTTGAAGGAATGCCTAAAAAAACGTTCAGAGCAGAATTTTGAATTGAATATGAAAAATAGTGAAAAATCTACATTAATGCGCTTGTAAATAAACACAATAGGCCGTGGTTTGTTGAATTCGTCTCTGATTTCCGAAAGAATACAATTCTGGATAACCGCTATTGGGGTCAAATTTTTGTTATTTGAAAATCTCAAAATTTCGAATTTTGCCTTTGACCTTTTACATGCCGACAACTTTGTTTACAGGTCATTTTATGTCCTTAATTTTAAAAATTTACAAATTTGACCTTAATATTCGAACACCTGAGGTCAGTCTGAATCAAAAAATATAAGTTCTATTCAAAGTTATCTCATTTAATTTTTCAATATTTTCCCGCCATTTTTGAGTTCTTTCCAAGTATTTTCTCATCCGACCCATTTTTAAAAGGCTTGATTCGTTTTCAGTTGAGATTTTTTATATAACCCATGAAATGTGACAGGAAGTGATCATGAATATGAAAGCTTTCATATCTGCTTGGCAGATCTAGTTGTAATTGAAGATAGACTTCCACAGGTGAAAAATGCTGTCTTTTATTTTACTGAATTTAATTTCACACCTAAAACTAAAGATAAACTTTAGACATGAAATGTAATTCTTCTAGCTGTTGAGATTACAAATTCCTATTAAGTCTATTTTATAAATTTATGTTTCAGGTACATAAGAATGTATCTGCCTGCCACACACTAGCTAATATGTGTACGTTATTATTCTATGATCCGGGATCAAGTAGAACAGGCAGTACCCAAGCTTGTACTTTACTTAAAGCAATTCCTGTCACGTAAGTAGAATTTTTTATTTGATAACGTATTAGACATGCCAACAGGCCAAAATGGCTAAAATGGGTGCAACTTCGATCGCACAACGAAAAACCACCCACACCTTATGCACCTTGACACTAAGGGTAAACATCTACAACACCTTTTAACCAATTATCTATGTTCTGTTATCAATGTTTGTTCCCAAATATCTACATGACGAGACATGCAAAAACAAAACATGGAAATAGATAATTACCATATATTAATTCAGTAATGCCCTAGTCATTTAAAATTAAACCCCATCGGTCTATCACTTGTGTAAAGTGACATTCAACTAGATTTTCTCAATCTAATTAAATCAATTTATGGAATTTGCTTAAGATATGACAAATTTTATCATTTGTGTTGTGTTCTTACTTGCCATGTGTTCTGTAAACATTCAATGAACACACAGCTCATCCAGCCACTCAAAGACAAAGCCTACTGATATTGAAATCTTGTGCATGAAGGCCAAAATCAGCTCTCTGAAGTGCAGTTATTCCATATATATATGTTAGATCTCTCTATAACATTAAAACCATAACAACAAAAGAAAGAAATTACTCATTTTAAATTATTTGTGATTTTCTTTGTGTAAAATATCCATTTTTTTACAAAAATTTTATTTGCCACATTTATTCGTCCATCCATTCAGCAAGCATCCACAATTGCTTGTGGGCCCTCTAGAGGATAAAGATATCCAATTGCTTTTAAATTTATAACAGTGTTTGAGTTCATAATGTGAAGAAACCAATTGACTTTCAGTGATTTCCAATAATTACTTTTGGAGTTATCACCCTTGATCAACTTTTGAAATCATGTGGATGCTCTTGAGTTTTCAGTTTCATCAGATTATACACAATCTTTCAGTTCATGAGCAGAAGAATCATGAATATTTTAAAAGGTTTCCCTTAATTGCTGTCAGAGTTAGAGCCCTTGACCAATTTCAGTAATTTTGTGAATGCTCTAAAGTTATTGTCTGATTGACTTGAAATTGACTCACAGTTTTTATCTTTATGAGTAGAAGGCCCATATTGATTTTCGATAATTTATTACTAATCAAACAGCTGTAGTTTTCACCTGATTACCGATACCAGTTTTATATAATTATAAGCATCAGGAAGAAATAGAAGCCAATCAAATTTATATATTTCTGATAATTACTTCATGGGTTGTTAAATTTAGATCTTTTAAGTCACTTGTAAATACCTACGAAAAAATATAATTATATGTGACCACCTTTGTAGACTGCTCAGACGACTTGGCTACTGAGTGTAAGTTTCGATGCCTGACAACCTATTTTTCTCTATGAATAGAAATGATGTGAAACCAGAAGTTTTAATAGATGATGATGCTGAAGACATTATTTATAATGATGGTATTCCTACAAGCTACACCTTCACACCACAGATGCTTATTAATTTTAAAGTAGCAAGGTATAGCCTTGAAGGAAATTTCCTGGGTTTCTCAGATGTTACTGGAGGCATGTTACAGTTGTGTGAAAATAACGAAAATATTCTGAATGCTGCTTATGTATTTGGCACTGTTTACTCTAAATCTGTGAGTTTCTATGGATACTTTTTATAGTACAAATTTTTTTAGCCATATTAAATACACTGCAATAAATCATTAAAATGGTGAAAAAAGAAAGTTTACATTAATTATATAAGAAATCCATAGTTTGTAATGCAGTTTATGTTCCCATAGTTGATTACTAATAATGACATTGTAATAATTTTATATTCTGGAGTATTCTTTTTTCTGGCTTATGGTCTGTTCTATATGGCAGGTATAATCTAATATCCAGTATGATTCTCACATATGTAAATGACAATTATCAATATTTTTTTTCTTTCAGTGTACCATATCAGCAAGGTCGTTTTGGGACACAACAAAATACCCATTGGAATTTTATGACTTATGTATCCTTTCATAAATGTTTTAGATATTTGATTATTTATCAGGAATGTCTATTAATCTATGAAGATGTGTTTGGGTAATTTCAGTTTTCTGCATTGTGCACTAGTGTTTTTTCAAATAAAATATTAATGTTGATAGAAGTTTGAAATAAAAATGAAACAATCAGGCCGGAAAATAGAATATAAATTAAACCACTAACTTTGCATTTGGAGCAATGTATAATCCTAAAATGTACCTGGACCAGATGTATTGGTACAATTTGGCAATTAAAAAACTTTGAAACAACTTGCAATAATTTATTTGGAATCTGTACCAAGTAACAATACCAATAAACTGGATACAATAACAAGCTAAGATATGCTTAGATACATATCTAGAACTGCATTCATGTAACAGAATTTAATTGTCAACTGAATGATTATTTTAAAACTGAAATATAGAATTTTATTTCATTAACCCAAGATTAAGATTTAGAATATGAAGATAATGCAGTAACACAGTTATATACAATACCTATTCGAATATTAAACTATCGTGATTTACGATCTGACCAGGCTAATAGAGGTTAGTTGCTTTTCTATTTCTGGGTTAAAACTGATAAATTTATTGTTAATTTATTTTGGTTATTACAGTCTAAAATTGATCAACATACATTTTGATTATGCTTATAATTTGAATATGATTTAGTCTAATTAAGATAAGATAATTCTGTTGATCTTTCGGGGGTTGTGTACCCGAATGGTTAACACATGCGCATTGGATGAGATGGCCTGTCATTGAGTCAAGTGGCGTGGTTCCGATTGCCCACTTGTATGTGACAAGGAGTAGGGTCGCCTGTCCAACCTCGTGGGTTTTATCCAGGTCCTCTGGTTTTCTTCCACTGCTGAAGACCCCTACGCACAAGCGAATTATTGAAATAGAACAGAATCATATGTTAGTCCCAAAATGACTTAGTTTGTGTCGAGTGGACATTAAACCCCATTTCTCTCTCTCTCTGTGTTGATCTTTACACTACCAGTGCACAATACTTTAACAGTTATAGCATATCTTTGGAGTTTGATTTTAACCATTGTGATTCATTAAAACTATTTTTGCTCAAGACAAACTTGTGTCTTCATTAAGGTCAGCTCTGGCCAAGTATGGTATTGACTTTTAAACCACAGTTACCGTATTCAAGTCAAATTTATCATCTCTATATCAAGAATAAATTATTTGTTTTACAGAGGAAATCCGTAAATGGCAACTTGTGAGAAGATTTTTCCTTGTGGACAATGTAGCCACAGTTACTACTGGTTTGTAATTTATTCATGTATTAATTTTTAGCGCCTGGGTTTCACAGATATTTAGAATTTCTCTTGTTTGAATCTGTTACACAATTATCATTTAAACAGAGGGTAATTTGATTAGTAAATTCTGTTCACAAAATCTTAATGATTATCGTCCGTTTGGGGGTAAATCTACATTTAATAAACTTTCTGATATTGGCATAAATAATTATGAAATTTCTTTTAAATATTCTTGCTTCAGATTGAAAAGGGATTAACTTTTATTTATCATTTGTTTGTAGAAAATGAAAATGCTACAGTTGTACGATACGCTAAATCAATTCACCTATCAATGGAACTACAGAGTGAAACGAGTAATGGTAGAATCTATGTGCCATATTTTACAATAGAATATGGTGAAGTTGATAGAGAAGCAGCTGAATCCAATACTAAAGTCTCAGTAAGTTTATCTAATAGTGAATACTTGTTAGAGGTCATTATATTAAAGAAAATTGTAATAAGATTGAAATCAAACCATTTCCTGAATTCATTTGACGCTGACACTACCATATATAATGTCATCATAGTACTGCTAGTAGGATCCAAATATCATCCTCTTTACAAATTCATCCCCAAAATGGGCGTGGAGGTGTACTTCTCACCCAGTCTGCTTATCACAGTAACAACACATTTATTGAATATTTATCCTTCAGCCACTTGCCAGATTTTTATGCGCCCACATTTTTGTGTGGACGTATATATTATCGTTGCCTCTGTCCGTCCATCCACAATTTGTTTGTGGACACTCTACAGGTCACAATTTCTATCGGATTTTGACGAAATTTGAAATATAGGTTTATCTCCATAAGATCTTAGTTCCTTTCAATATTGGTATGTATTGGACCGTAACTTCATGGATTATGGCCCCTGATTGTACGAACAATCGCGTATTTAGCTTGTGGACACCCAAGAGGTCACAATTTTTATCTGATTTTGATGAAACTTGAAATGTATGTTTATGTCTCAAAGTCAAAGATATCGATTCGTTTTGATATTCAAACATAACGAACCATAACTTTCTGGATAATGGCCCCTGATTGTACGAAAAAGAAGCGATTTTAGCTTGTTGACCCACTAGAGGTCACAATTTTTATTCGATTTTAAAAATCCTTTAAATATATCGCTGTTACAGCTTATTGATATTTGAGTTTGAATTGTACATGAAAATCGGACCAAAACTGCCGGACAAACTGGCCGCTCCTTGTACGCAAACAGTGTAAAAGTGTTACCATGGTTGTAGACCCTCTACAGGTCACAATTTTTTACCTGATTTTGATGAAAGATCTAGGTTCTTTTGGATATTCTCACATGTCAGACCGTAACTTCCTGTATTATGGACCCTGATTGCATGAAAATATCTTGACTTTAACTTTGGGACCCTCTAGTGATCACTGTTTTTATCCGATTTGAAAAAAAGTTTGAATATATCACTGATTATGACCACTGATTGTACGAAAAATTGCAGTTTTTCTTTAGCTTGTTCTCTGTCCATCTCTTGCAAAATTTGTGCGAATCTTGCATGGCAACAGCTTGTTTTGATTATGACTATGAGTAATCTGTTTAGATATTTTGGTTAATCCCATTTATGTGTACACATTACATTTTAAACACATTATGGTCTTAAGTTAATGTGTACACATAAAGACTCTTAACCCTAAAATATTATTACAAATCAACATGACGTTAATTTAGAAATAAATTTTTATCTGATTTAAATTTTAGGTATCATTCAGTGTTTCATATACAATGAGTCAATCAAAATATTTCCGAGATTTCCAGATTGCTGCTGGTATTGTTGGATCTCTGTCATTTTTGTATGCGGGTTACAGAACCTGGGTCTGGTCCAAAAGAGCGGGAAGAATAAGCATAGATTTTGCTACGTTGATGAACTTTATCTTCTTTTTATCAGCTGCTTTATCCAACTGTTTCTTTGTCGTTAATTTTGGTATAGCTTTCTACTGGCTTGTGTTCTTCAAGGTGAGATTTATAATGAAAATTGAAATATTATAGCTATTTATGAATTATTTAGAACAAGTAATAAAGAATGAAAAAAAAAAAAATCTTATTTACATGTAAGTGCAAAAAAACGATTTTCTAGAAAAATGGATCAATTAGAAAACCCTCATTTGTAATTGCTAGTTCTGACAGACAGTGAAATTTAGCCACAGGTATTATAAGTCCAGTCTATTTACGTGCAATAAAAATAGGTATTTCAAAGGATTTAAACTTAAATCACAACAACTATTGTTAAATTTACCCTTAAAATTGATGTAAAAATGGCTGAATGCAAAATTTACAAAGATATAATGAATTGAATATTTGTCAAAAATGCCATTCTCTGATATAATCAAAAGTCATCTCCACCTGTATTATTTGCTACAATCTTTATGGGTCTCTTTTTAATGACATTGAATCTAAGCAGGGAGATAAGTCTACCTATGATATTTTGATTTTGTTTTCTTAAACATACATTATGCAAGAGCTAAATCTGCCTATTGCAAGTCTTTATTTAGGCTTCAGATGTTATAGAAATTATTAATTAGACCTTTATTTACATGACAAGCTCAAAATCATCTCTGTAGACCTCGGATGGCTTGGATACAGCTTGGATTTAAACAGTCGGCCATTTAAATTTAAATCAATAAATGGCCGACCAAGCTAACATTTACTGTTAGTGATTGATGTCACTACTGGAGACAGCCGATGAAAGGCCTACCAAGCTGGGGTACCATAGCCATTGATAATCGAGAATATGTGGGTTGAGTTATCGTCTGTCATTCAAACGAACGGCAATTCTTGTAGACGGTGCGGACACAGTTGATGCCTATTTCTAGTCCAAACTCCCAACAGTGACAACTCAGTTCAGAATAAAGTAATTTGACTGAAATTTTCAATATTTTTTTATCATCTATTTTTGAATTATTATAGCAAGAATAGCCAACTCTTTATTAAACTCTTAACTAGTGTATCTTTAATTATATATTAAATAATAATTTGAGTACATGGAGCAGACCAGAGACTTAAAGATTGATTCCTTTCCTTTTTAGCGCCAAGATGCAGCTTATTTGGTACACCCTTCAGGACAATCGTTATTGGAATGGCAGATCTTGTTTGGATTTTCATTTGCTCTGAAAGTTCTAAATGTTTTACACTTAATCGTTATGCAGTGTATGGTAGACATATTTTTTATTGATTGGGAAAGACCTGTGGCAAGGGCAATCAATAACCAATCACAAGATAAAAGAGCTGGACAGGAAATGCCTGTTTCAATATGGAGGACATACTTTGTAGCCAATGAATGGAATGAATTACAGGGAATCAGGAAAATCAATAAAATATTCCAGATATTTGCTGTTGTATTTTTCCTGACTGTTGTCGGTTTTGAGAATGTAACAACCTTAGATCCAAATGGCAGTGTGTTGAAATCTGATGATGATTATAAAAGTGAAACAAGTTATGTCTTTAGATATGCCATAGCAGTTTTGGTGTATTTGTTAGTTGGTAAGTTATGTATTCATATTAAATAGATATGGGTAATTTTATAAGATATATTTATACACACACGATTCTCAATAACTTTCAGAATTATTCCCCTGTGTTACAAAATCATGTTAGCATCAGTGCTAATGATCCAATCTACTGTATTCTTTGGTGTATTAGGCACACTTTTTTTTACCAAATATTTTATTTTCTAGAAGGGTTGCACCTAATACATAACGTTAACCAAATCCAGGCTTCTCCTGTGTCAACACCGTGTTAGCAACTGTGGTCTTCAATTATGATCCAATCTACCAGTATTTGAAATTTTATGAGTTGTTTAGCTTGGACAACTTAGCTGCTATTCGGCTTATGTTTTGTTGTCTGTCAATCTTTGTTTATAACTGATAGGTCATTATTACTAATTAGAAAATAAGTTTAAATGATTTTGATATTGAATTTAATTAGTTTTTGAAGAATTATGAATAGCAACATAATTTTAAAATTTTTTTTGTATATTTCCAGCTGTTGTGCAGTATATTTTCTTCACGTTTATTTATGAAAGATTTATAGAAGATAAAATTCGGCAGTTTGTAGATTTATGTTCCATGAGCAATATAAGTGTATTTATTATGTCTAATGCTAGATACGGTTATTATATTCATGGACGAAGTGTACATGGTAGAGCTGATACTAATATGAAGGAAATGTATGATATGATGAAAAAAGAGGAGGTAATGAAAATTGGTTTCGCTCACAAATCTAAAAGGTGCTCAGGCAGATTAAGGCGGAAAATGATTGCGTCACTGCTTCCGATCCCCGGGCAAAGAAAATAAGCTTCCTAGAAATGTTGGATATTTTTATACATGTAGTAGTAAATAGGACAACTCCTTCAAGATTAAATTTTTGAAAACGGTTAGGCCTCTTATGTTTAATATCTGCAAAGTGTTCTTAATTCGCTTTGATAAGATATGTTTGTCTTTCTCCTATGTATTGTTTCTGACTTAGTGAGCATGTTATATAATAGGTAGACAATATTTCTACTTTGGCAATTACACCATTACGGCAGATAAATTCCTTGCCAGTTTTATCACTAAAGAAGTAGCTGTTTTTGTCTAATTTGATTCAGATATCAAATTCTCATTTGACACAGTGTTCAAATAAATTAAGGAAGAACACTTCACAAGTTTATAGATCCCTAGGTGTGTAGTTCAGTCTCGCTCTTGTTCTTCTAGTTTGGAGTTCCTTCTAAATGCTATGATTAGCTTATACAGCACATTCCTGAACTGGATAATATGAAAGAAATCTGTGATGTCTACTTGCCAGTACCGGTATATAGATATGAAATTTTGTAATATTTAAATTTTTATCTTGTAGGAGGATATGTGTGGTAAAAGAGGTTTAGAACCGAATTCAGAAGAACAAACATTTCAAATGTCCATTCCTCTCAAGCTCCGAGCCAAATATGAACAAATTTATATTCCTATTGCACTAGAGGTAAGATATTGAAGCGAAGGATTTTGACTAGAGTTTGATGGTTTATAAGATATACAAATATAACTTAACAAGATATTCAGTTTATGAGTTAATATGATATTTGAGTAATGATACAAACAAAACATTGCAGGTCTCTCTTTAGGCCTGAAATGTTATCTTAATTGTTAATTAGACATTAATTAACTTATCCAGACCATAATCAAGTCACAATGCCATTGCTAGCCTGCGATATTTACTGGATTTGAATACATTTTGTGATCGATGATTTAACTTTAAAATGGATAATCAAGACTGTTTTTTTATCGTACCGACTTTAGTAATGATGATTGAGGCTAGACCTAAAATTTAATCGCTAATGTCTTGGTTCAGAGTGAAGCAATTTGACTGAAATTCTCAGCATATTCTCTTTACGTTATTTATTTTTTAACTATTATAGCGAGAACTGTCAGCTGTTTATCTAATCTCACATAATGCCCCTTTAAGCAATATATTATTAACATTAGGTGATGATGCAAACCTGAACACAAGGTAAATTCTACAGTGTTATTGTACAAACTTACATCAGACCTTATGCTGTAATCAGGTTATAGGGTAATATGCTTGAGCTATCTCACCTAGTTCATAATTCAGTTGTTTTCTGCAATGATTCAGCCTGTGAATATAAAATAAACATTACTATTCACAAGATCATTTTTTGTTTTAAGTTATTAATTGTGGCAGATTAAAAGAGATATATCAGTTTATTGGGTTTTTTTCTTTTACTGTTTCAGAAAGCATCAGTAGTAGGTCGCATGGAACAAGGTAAAGGAAGAACACCGGGTTCTCCATTAGATAAAAGTATTGAAGCTTACACATCCATGAATAAATTCCTTGGTGCCTACATAGATCATGTAAGTCAACTAATCTTTTTGAGTTGTTTCAGTATACAAGTTATACCAATACAAGGATGAATGATTATACTGTTTTAGATATCTTTGCTTTCCTTGTGATTACTATTGCTGAAGGACGATACCGCTTGAGATGGCTGCGACCCTCTGGCAGTAATTAATGGCTGACATCTGTATAAGTTAGTAAGGCTGGAAAATACTTTAACCCCAGCCATACCTTATTTGGTTCCCATCTAGAGATTCAATTATTATATAACCGAAATAAATTTGACTTTTCATTTAGAAAATATTAACCCAATTCTTCAATCTTTCTGGTAACCTTGAGACCTTAAAGGATACAATTTCTTTGATTTTGGTATAACATAAAATTGTTTTTATTACATTTAATGCATTGATTTAAATTGGTGTCTGTTTACTTCTAATTTTTAGTACGATGAATGTAGAATTTATTTATTTATCTATTTTTAGTCTGTTAAAGATTTGGATTATAAGATAATAAGAAAGGGAATAGTTGAAAATATAATGGATACAGAATTCCAAGATTCTCTGGACCAAGGTATTCTGTATAATGGTAAGACATTTTGTTGGCAATTAAAAGTAGACAAAGAGCCTTTAGAATCAAATTTGATAAACAAAATTATTACCTGTGTGAAGCATATCTTGTCTCATGCACAGCACCCAATACGTCTTGGAGCTAATTTTATCTGTATTTTTTTCATTTTAGACTGTTAATTTATTTCCTTGGAACAAAATTGTCAGCATTTAGTGTCATTGAGATAGAGACGGACCAACTGCTTCACTTTTTACTGTATTTATTTCAGATAATGGTCATTCTTTTGACCAGGTTTTATTGTTTGGTAACGAGATAACCCTGATTCTCTTTGATGTTCTCTTTTTCTGCATGGTGGATCATATAGCTACAAATTTTGTATTAGCTGGAGTAATAACATACCTAGCAACAGAGGTTAGTTGGGTTTTGGGTGCAAGCAAATATTTACAGTACAACTTTTCTTTCTTATGTAAACTTATTAACATGACATAAACATCTGTGGACTTTTATCAGCATGGTTACCATGAAGCACATTCCTGAAACTTTCCAAATCAATCATCAGTTTTATAGAATAGGCATATGTAACGAAAATAGCACAATTTAAAAAGATAGCTGTTTTCAGTGCATCATGTACTGTAAATACATGTTAGAATAAGATATTCTGATGCAAGATAATGGAATGTGGTCTAAGGGGAGATAATATCAGTAAATGACTTATCTCCCTTCACATAACATTGATAATAAATGCTTTATAGAATAGGCATATGTAACGAAAATAGCACAATTTAAAAAGATAGCTGTTTTCAGTGCATCATGTACTGTAAATACATGTTAGAATAAGATATTCTGATGCAAGATAATGGAATGTGGTCTAAGGGGAGATAATATCAGTAAATGACTTATCTCCCTTCACATAACATTGATAATAAATGCTTTGACAGTCACAATATAAGTACCTATTTTAAAGGTAATACATGGTATTTATATTATCTTTATTGATACATTTTTTTCTTCATTGTGGGTTTGATAAATACCCAGAAGTCCTTACTTTTTGTCACCTTGGTGATCAAGGTCACTGAAAGCAAGATATTAACAATAACTTCATTCAAATCTTTAGAAAAACTTTATGAAACTTAGACAGAGGCTTCAATATGGTCTAATGTGCATGCTTTTATACAAATGATTTTCAAAATTGACTATACAGTAGCTAGGATAACTTCTTTTTATAGTGAAATTTCTCTTTGCTTTCCCCGTCTTCATTAGCCCAGGTTAGGAGCAGAATAGTAGGACGTTAAACCCCATTTCATTTCATTTCTCTTTGCTTTCAGGAATTTTGCAAATTTTATACACAAATAACTTACTTTGAGTTTGATGGATGTTTGTTCTCCTTTAAAAATGGAATAAGAATTGGATGTATTTTTATATACATGTATGCCCACATTTTCATGTGGATGTTTATCGTCATCGTCCCTGTCTGTCCACGATTTGTTTGTGGCCACTCTACATGTCACAATTATTATCTGATTTGGACGAAACTTGAACTATAGGTTTAACTCCCAAAGATCCCGGAACCTTTAGAAATTGTCATGTATCGGACCGTAACTTCATGGATTATGGCCCCACATTGTACGAAAAATCATGTTTTTAGCTTATTTACCCAGTTTCGATTAAACTTAAAACATATGTTTATATCTCAAAAATCTATCGGGTAGGTTCACCTCGATATTCGCTTATATCGGAAAGTAACTTCCTGGATTATGGCTCCCTAGAGGTCGCAATTTTTTTCTGATTTAAAAAACATGTATAAATATATCACTGTTACACCATAATGACAGTTGAGTTCAAATATGACGCTTCACGTACGCAAATAGTGTAAAAGCATATAATACCAAATGTCACAATTTTTATCAGATTTTGATGAAACTTAAAATAGCTTGTTCTCTGTCCATCTCTTGCAAAATGTTGGCATATCTTGCATGGTAACTGCTTGTTCAGTGTGTAATAATAATAAAAGTTATACTAACAGAAATGAATGATTAAAATTAAGGCTTTTATTCTATTTTCCAGCTGGTGACTATGATTAGAATAGCAGGAGGTAAAAGAAATTTAGCTAGAAAGACTTTAGTTGATGAAAGGTTTTTGATATGAGAAACATAAATAAACCTATATAATAATTTTTAATTCCTTCCAGTTACACATAACTTTGTACGCAAAATGTGAGGATTTTATCTTTGTACTTAATTTTGTTCATTCCTGTTTGCAACAGATGTTAAATTTAGAATCTTAACATAATTCCAGTTATTTATAAATTCCATCCTATTTTCAATGTTTATTCTTAATAATTTTTACATGTAATAGATTTTTTTATGTTGTACAAATTTTTGTGAAAAAAAGTAAATTGTAGTCATGTAAATATACATATATATATATATTTTATATGATGGAAAATTATGAGATTTAACATTGCTCTTTTAGGTGTGTAATTCTCAACATTTCATTTTGCCATTAACACTTGAACGTAACATCCAGATAATAAAAGTAAATTGAAATCTGTCCTATGTGCACGGTTATGTTTTTATTTTGTATTGTAGTTTTAAACGTAGATAAAGAATGTTTGGTAATATATGATTTTAATTCTGTCCATGGCTTCATTAGTCATAGATCAGATGTCAGATATTTTATTTTATTGAGTATAAACTTGATATGTGTATTGTACCATGACACTTAACAAAAAAACCTTTCTAAGTTAATGTTTTTTGTTTGATATAATTTTTATTATCTTGTCTTATTCAAATCTATTGGTAATATATTTAATCAGAAAAACCTTTATATTCTATAGTTTCACCTCATCATACCAGCAGTTAGAGGGCTTGTTTATACTTATTTTAAGAATGTAATCTTTATTTGTTTATGTTGAAAAATGTTGGGAAGAAATCAGAGCAATCCCAGGATGTATTTAAAATAAAGAGTGAGTCAATGTTTATATCTCAACCATAAAGAGGTTTAAAATGCACAAGTGGTCAAGTAAGAGATTAGAATTTAATCACCACAGAAAAATGTTTATTGATTTTTGTCTGTTTTAATACATGTAATTTATTCCGTCCGTACATCTTGCTTTATAATACTTTGTATATTATGTAGATAATCATGTTAATGAATATATATTTATTTTTTTATAATTTAAGTATAGGTTGAGTGTAAAATAAACATTTATACCTTCTACTTTATTTGTTTAGTTTTATTACATTTGATGTTGTTTTTTTGTTTAAACATACATTATGCAAGAGCTAAATCTGTCTATTGCAAGTCTTTCTTTAGGCCTGAAATGTTATCTAAATTATTAATTAGATATTAACTAACCTATCCAGGCCATAATCAACTCTAGATGGCAGCGCTAGCCTGCGATCTTTAGTGGGTTGTGGGCCGATTTACTGCATAACTTTCCTTCTCGATTTAACGATTAGATGGATAATCGAGACTATGCTGTTTATTGTACTGACTTAAGTAATGATGACCGAGGCATGGGGAAATTTCAGTCGCTTAGTTCTCAGTTCATAGTGGATCAATTTGAATGAAATTTTCAGCAAATTACCTTTTCATTATCTAGTTTTTAACTATTATAGTGAGAACTGCCAACTCGTTACCGAATCTCCCATAATGTATCTTTAAGTAAGGTAAAAAAAAAGGATGAAAGTGAAATGGAAATATTAAATAATTGTCTAAGTGAAAGTCAAATATTATGTCTTCTCTTCAAATTTACACCAACTTATTAAAAAAATTATATTTTATTATTATTTCCCTGCACTATGACTTAATTCTTATTCTTTTAAGTCTATATCTCTTTGAAAAATAATATTGATTATCTCACTGGGATAGATTAATGGTATTGAATTTAGTCAATTATTGATAATCCTTGAGTGGCATTTAGCGATTGAACACATTAAAAACACAACACAGTTTATATGGAAATACAATCACTGGTTTATAAGTATAGCACGACGTTTCGACAAGTATTCTCTTATCGTCATCATTTGTGCTTGATAACGATAAGAGAATACTTGTCGAAACGTCGTGCTATACTTATAAACCAGTGATTGTATTTCCATATAAACTGTGTTGTGTTTTCAATTATTGATAGTTTTTTTTCTTTTTATAATGTAGACAATTGTTGTCACCCCATGTGAACACTTCATGGGTCAGTTTTTGACATATTTTTTTCATGAAAGCTTCTAAATGTGAAACAGGACGTACAGAGTTCTCAAAACTCAATGAGCTTGTTGATTAGTGTATAAAGAAGGGCCCTATGCCTATAGCATTTCAAAATTTTTAGATTGCAGATTTCAAACAAATTTTTGTGAATTTTCTTTCCATCATATTATTCTGACTACTAAAGTTTGTTAAGGCAAAATGGGACAAAGTTGTAGGTAATGGGATTGTTCATTAGGTCCTAAAGAGGAATCCTTCAAAATTTAGAAAATTGTGAATTCCTTATTTATTTCCAAGTTTATGAGATCTTTTAAACACAATACAGAACAGAATGATGTGAGCAAAACTAGCTAATATTCAATCACTCTCACTGATGGAAGGAATAATCACCAAATAGAACTAATGTTTTCCCAAATCTAAATTTAAAGGAGGCAACTCGCTAACTCAGTATCATCCACAGTGTTCGACATTGCAAACATGACTGATTGGTCCATTTAAATCAACATTGATGTTATTGTCTTACTGTGAAAAGATGGGCTTCTGAAATCCAATATTTAAGACAAAATGAACATTTTCAAATTGGCACACGAATTGCATGCCAGAATGCTTTCAAGTGTCATTTGTAATGAAGCAATTTGATGAACGAGGCTAAATATACTCCACAGGAGAATACTACCAGTGTAGACTTGAATAACCAGAAGCCAAAGACTGCCATTCAATTTTTTCATAATTTTCTGAGGAGGTCACTTTATAACTTTCTGAGACATTTGACGTGGAATGACCCATTATTATATACTCTACAAAAAAAGTAGGGGATATTGAAATGCAAATACATATGCAGGTTGCGATATGATAAATAGCCATGGACATTTGACATGTTTTGAGAGTATGTTCAGAGATGAAGAACTTATCGCCCCAACAGAACCACTGAGCTGCACATGCGACACGCAATAGCGCCATAGACGTGGGAGGGGTTCATTGTCAAATTTAACACTTCAAGGAAGGGTTGATGAAAACTGCCCCGTGCTGGTTTATCTATCCATGTTTGCTTTCCTATCGGTTCTTGCATAAGATTTACTGTTTAGCGTATCTTTGCTTTAGTGTGTTAGGTTTAATTTGATCGGGAGACGTGTTCGTCGACGTTAACGTCAACCGACAACACTGCAAGAATTGGCCGTGGCACTACAAGAGGAGTGGGTCAGATTGCCCCAAATCGTGATTGGACGGTTGAATAGGAGCATGCCACGACGAATTGCTGAATGTCTGAGGATTGGTGGAGAAATTACTCATTATTAAGACAAAAATCAAAAACGTCCATTTTCACTTTTGACGGTGTATCTCTTTGCGAGTGAAATGGGGGCCGTCAGATAAGCTGCCCATATGAACTGTTTATGTTCATGTGTAAGCAATTGGCCTGTTATTAACATATTACACTGGTTACCTCTAATAAAAACAGAGTGCATTTCCGCAGTTTTGAATTGTTTCTGAATATACCCTACTTTTTTTGGAGAGTATATTGTATGCGTTGTGACCAATTTGTGTCCATTTTTAGGTACCAAAAAATAGTGATTTAGCTCCTTTAATGATGAGTATACTTGATGAAAATATATATTTGCTATTAAGAAAATGCAAGAATTGGCCGTGGCACTTCAAGAGGAGTGGGTCAGATTGCCCCAAATCGTGATTGGACGGTTGAATAGGAGCATGCCACGACGAATTGCTGAATGTCTGAGGATTGGTGGAGCAAATTACTCATTATTAAGACAAAAATCAAAAACGTCCATTTTCACTTTTGACGGTGTATCTCTTTGCGAGTGAAATGGGGGCCGTCAGATAAGCTGCCCATATGAACTGTTTATGTTCATGTGTAGGCAATTGGCCTGTTATTAACATACGCTGGTTACCTCTAATAAAAACAGCAGTGCATTTCCTCTGTTTTGAATTGTTTCTGACATCCCCTACTTTTTTTGAAGAGTATATTGTATGCGTTAATGCGACCCATTTGTGTCCATTTCTAGGTGCCAAAAAATAGTGATTTAGCTCCTTTAATGATGAGTATACTTGATGAAAACATATATTTGCTATTATATCTTATATCAAATTCTAATTGTCAATAGATCTTTTACGTGCATGCCAATGCGTACACGGGACCTCGGTTTATTATCCCATCCGAACGACTAGACAGCTGTCCTTGTCAGGCCCTCCTTCCTGCATCATTGACTAGAAGGCACCACGCCGGAAAATCTGAATGGTACCATGGATATAACAGATAATTGATAGTACTAAAACAAAAATTTATTGTTGAATTAAATATTAATATTTTTGTTAGTATTCGTTTCGTTTAAATAAAATAAAAAATCCGAAATTTTAATTTTGAGTTGTCTCCCCTGGTAAAAAATATTTAATATTATGTTCTTGTTCAGAGGTGATTTTCATTTTCCTTGGATGATTTTATCTATGTATTCTTAAAGAAAATTTTATGGTTAAGCAGGGTGGGATTTCTTAAAATGAGTTTTATTTAATCCCAGGTTTTAAATGCACTTTCGATGAGGGGGGCGAAGTATGACCCAAGGGTTCCCTTCTATTATAGTGATTAGTAGGCTGTAACTATAAGAAACCTCATCTCTCATTCTCAACCCTCCGTGTCAGTATATCTCAACGTTTTTGGCTACGTTATCGTAGCTAATGTGTTCCCCTGTAAATTTTCCTAGTTGATCAGTTCACTAAAAAATATATTATGATATGATTGAGGGTGACCTCTCAACCTGCAACAACACATGTTAATGTTAGGCTACTGTTTCAATTAAATCTAGGCCTAGATAACATTGTAAGCCTACCCGTTTCTGCAATCTAATGCCCTTTTGTGCATTCAGCATTAGGCTAGATTTAGATCAGTAAAACATGGTACCATGGCAGTAGGCCTACCTAACAATCCTTTAAAAATAACGTAAATTTGATCCAGTCAGGTTTACTATTGCTCATTTCACGTGACATGTCCTTTTCGTTTAGGCTTATGCAATTTGATGAAGATATTGCAAGGTAAACTAGTTCAGAGCTGAACTACTATTGACGTTGTTATTATCTTAGTTATATAATCTAGCCTTAGAAAGAGAAAATAAATATTTAAATGATATCATTTCTTTCCAGATTTTAAAATTCGTTGGTGTTGATTTCACTATTGTAACATTAAAAATGTTTGGAAAATTGGTAAGTTGTATCTTATGTCAAGTCAGATGAAGATTTAAAATTTTGTATTATAAGAAATATTTTTTTTAGGATCAGAATCCCATTTCTCTTTCTTTACTGTTGGTGACTTGGTCCTTCACAAAATACTTTTGATAGATGAAAACCAAATTTTGTCCTTTATTGGACAAAGCAGGGCTCTATTAAAATGGGTTTAGTCGTCCATCTGATCCATTGGATTGCTTGAGACTTTGGAACACAATAACTCTCCTTCCGATTGAGGTAGAATGTTCCAACTGCGTGTAGATGTTTATTATTTGATGAGCATTTTCTACTGAGGCTAAGCAGAGATACAGGGTAGGCCTACTGTTGGTAAGCAATTAGATTTGTTATACTTTGGAACATGGCAACTCTAATTCGAAGATCAACAGATGTAATTGCATGCGTAATATCTCTGCTTAACCCCTGCAGTAATTAATGAGTGTTATCTATTTGTTTAGGAATTGAGGTGGGAGAGAGCAGATTCACTGCTGACTTGTTAAATTTATTTCAGGTTTGTTTTGTTGTTGGAACATATGCAGGTATTTTCATTGACCAACATTACAAAGTAAGGCATTTATTTTTTTTTCTTCTATGTTATAATATTAATGAGGCATTATAAGCATGAGGCATTTTGACTTCAAATATTATATAAATCATTATTTAGATGTTTATTCACATGAAAAGCCAATATTAAACTCTAGCTAGCCATCGAATAACTTAGGTATTGAGTGGATTAGATAATGCCCACCATCAGGCGTTAAAATATCAGTTATGATATCAGGAATGATGATGTCATGGACTTAGCTTATATAATAAAGGTAAAAATTTACAAGTAAGGAAAATCATGCATGATTATGAATGATTTTGAAACCCCCAGGATTTAACTCATTTGAACTGTTTGGCCAAACAAAATTAAGTCTATGAATCCATTATCTTCCACTATCAAGTTTTCATCTCAAAACACCCCTTTAACTCTATCCCTTACTGTAATACAGTTGACTATCCGTTACAGTCAACTATCGAATCAACTGTGTATGGTGTGCTAATGGCAAAAAAACATTACTTGTATGGAAACAAAATCAATATTTATTGGAAACAATGTAGGAATTTTACTACCTATATTTGTGTGGACACTCTAGTGCAGGTCACAATTTTTATCCAATTTTGATGAAACTTGAATTTTATATCTCAAATATCTTAGCTCCTTTCGATATTGACATGTATCGGACTGTAACTTCCTGGATTATGGCTCCTGATGGTTTGAAAAATCACGTTTTTTGAATGTGGACCTTCTAGAGGTCACAATTTTTTATCCTATTTTAAAAACTGTTCAAATATATCACCGTTGCACCCTAATGATGGTTGAGTTCGAAAATCGGACTAATGCTGCTAGACAAAATGGACACACCTTGTATACATTCAATGTAAAAGCATGTAAGACCAAGGTTGTGGACCCTCTAGAGGTCACAATTTTTATAGTCCACATTATGAATGTGGACGTATATTGCTGTCGCCCCTGTCTGTGTGTTGTGTGTGTGTGTCTGTATGTCGCCTACAGGCCAGAATTCTTAAATGATCATCTTGAAACTTTACATACTTAATCCTTATACCCTAAGGGTGATGGCTATTGTTTTTGGTGTATGCCCAACCCCCAGGGGCAGAGCCACGCCAATTTCTTGTGTTTGTTTGTTGTCTACAGGCTGCATTTCTTAACATATCTTGAAACTTTGCATACTTACCCTTTGTACCCTAAGAAAACATCCCTATTGTTTGGGGTGAATGCCCAACCCCCAGGGGCAGAGCCACAGCCATTTTCTTTTTGTGTGTCTGTATGTTGCCTACAGGCCTCAATTCTTAATCAATCGTCTTGAAAATTTTTCATATGAATTCTTTATACCCTAAGGATGATCTCTATTGTTTTTAGTGCATGCCCGACCCCCAGTGGCAGAGCCACGCCCATTTCTTGCATTTATTTGTTTGTCATCAGACTGCATTTCTTAATGTATCACCTTGAAATTTTGCATACTTATTCCTTATATCCTAAGTAACATCCCTATTGTTTGTGGTGAATGCCCAACCCCCAGGGGCATAGCCATGTCCATTTTCTGTTTGTGTGTCTGTGTGTCACTTACAACCTGCAATTCTTAATCGATCGTCTTTGAAACTTTTTTATACTTATTCCTTATACCCTAAGACTGACCTCTATTATTTTTGGTGCATGCCCCCTGGGACACAGCCACGCCCAATGTTTGTGTGTTTTGTGTTTCGCCTACAGGTCAGAATTCTTAACAGATCCTTTTAAAACTTTGCATACCTATTCGTTATACCCTAAGGATGACCCCTATTGTTTTTTGGTGATTTCCTGACCCCCAGGGGCAGAGCCATACTCATTTTTTCTTTGTTTCTCTGTGTGTTGCCTACAAGCCACGAAGGCCACAATTCTGAATGGATTATCTTGGAACTTGGTATACTTATTCCTTATACCCTAAGGATGGCAACTATATTGATGTTGGTGCAATACGTCTTCCACCAATTCTAAATAGATCATCTTGGAACTTGGCATATTTATTCCTTATCCTGTAAGGATAGCAACTATATATTTTGGTGCATGTCCCGACCCCCAGGGGTGTGGTACCATAGCCACTTTTTTGTTAGTTTTTATCAGTACATCAGCAACTATTTATTTTGGTGCATGCCCTGACCAACTGGGGCAGTGTCACACCCACTTTTTTGTTAATATTTTGTCTGTAAAACTGGCAAAACAAACCCAACACCTAGCCTTCTTTGCCTCTTGTCATATTACAGCCATTTCATATTTCATTCTCTTCATTTTAAAAAGTACCATATCAATCAAAGCAGGAATTTGGACGTATATTGCATCGTTAGCGATGCTATTGTTATCTGATTTAGATGAAACTTAAAATGTATTTATTATATCCCAAAGATATCAGTTCCTTTCTGCCGTAACATCTTGGATTTTGACGAAGCTTAAAATATATGTTTATATCCCAAAGATCTTGATTCCTTTTGATATTGTTGTATGTTGGATTGTAATTAACCTCGATTATTGCCCCTGATTGTGCGAAATATTTCTCTTTTATCTTGTTCTCTGTCCATCTATTGCAAAATGTGGGCGTATCTTGCATGGTAACCACTTGTTCATTATGGACAGAGAACATGCTAAAAAAGCAATTACTATATGATCTGTAAGGTCAAGTTATGTTCGCGTACAGGGCTAAACGATGCAGTCAATCTCCTTGACATGACAATGGGACATACTGATAGTGTTGTTAATTTAACTTCCAACAAGAAAGTAATTACTGAAGTCTTTGTATAGCATCTAGTAAATTTGCATCTATACTTTATTGTTATCCATATGTATTTTATTATCAACATCTTTTGCTTCCCCCTTAGAAAAGTAAGCAACATTTGTTCTTAATTTCAGTTGCCTAAAGTTGATGATCCACAGGAATTATGGAATAAAATTAAAGAATTCGCAGAGAATTATAAAAAAGATTAAATGTATATTCTGTTTTTGAGCTAAAGACTGTGATATATCATGAGGAGAAACATGTCTACTAGCTTGTGTTGGGATGCAGAGATGTGACAGATTGAAAAACTTTGTTACTGTATAAATTGTAATACCGGGTGCTTTCTGTGCCTACTTTGTTACTTTTCCATCTACAAACACAATCCTTGTAAAAATAATGTAATGAGTCTGTTTGTTCGTTCCCAGTTATATTTGTTAAAATTTCTAATAGAATTTTGTATTGGTTTGAATGACTGTGAATAAAATTATGGGGAGGATATTTATTGCCATGAATAGTTTCACTTAGGATTGCTAAGTTATGGAATTTTATGAAGATGTACCTGTACATGTATATGATGATATTAATTATCTGCTGTGTATTAGCTTGTTATCCAGTCTTCAATAGTATATAGGAACGTCTCTTCGGAGATTTGAGGAAAGACTAGGGACATGGACCAACCATTTTAAGAATTATTAGTTTAAGAACTTTTTTCGCCTAGCTTCGCCCAGCTAATTTTTTTTATACATAATAATATAAAATTTTCGAATTACTGTGTTGCCAATATATTATAAATTTTTATATAAGACCTCAAAATGTACAATCGACACATCCTTATTTGACTCACTCCACTCGAGCTTTCTTTCTTTTCCTACATCTTCGGAAATATTGTGCATACAATGTGAAACAAAAATGTCATATAATGTTTTAATTTAACTATAAAAGCCCTCCATTCTGCAAGGCTTTGGTTTGCCTCGCCAGTGGGGAGTCCCCACCCACCCATCCTTTTCAAAATCATGTATACAGATACATGTAATTATGTAATGTGTATTGTTTTATAGATATTTGTTTGTGTAAATTTATGATTAAAAAGTGTATGGAATAAATTTATAGATTATGTATTAAAATGTAGATGTTATCCTCTTCTAAAAAGGGATAGCAGGATGTTGAACCCCATTTCATGTCATTTCTAAAAAGGAAAAGTAATGACATACCGTAATTTAAAAGATACTATTTGATAGGCTTGTTTGGAAACAGCTGAAGTTGTTTTTCCTGTTATTTCAGGAAGTGAACAAAAATTAGTACATGTTTTAGAATCCTTTATTTGACCTCTAGTCTGCCGGATAAACACAGATTTATGTGTTTTCCTGGAAAAAAGTCCCATCAAAGCAAACTTGGTCTCAAATGAAAGATGGGGTCCGTAGGTACTCCAGAAAAAAAAGACCCATCATGATTGCTTGGGGAAAATTTTTGGGGCAGGGTCAAAAGTCAAGCTCAACCAATCAGAAAAAAGCAGTACCTAAATATCTCAAACACTAACAATGTTGGACCCTATAAATGTATTATCAACATATAGGAACTCTATATCTCTGAGTCGGATAAAGCAGTCTGCATCCACCTAAGATGTCCCACTGCTTAAAATATGAAATTGAACCATGTCCAGAAATAACCTAGTTTGTGTCAGTGGATATTAAACCCCATCTCTCTCTCTCTCTCTCTCTCTCTTAAATAGAGTATTTAAATAATAAGTACATACATATTATTTACAATTGTTGTGTGTGGTGTTAAGGTAACGTCACAGAGTCGTAGCTGTTGTGTGTGGCGTTAAGGTAACTAATTGTCATAGTTAGCTCGGCCACTCAGCCAGTATATTATAAACACCTACAACCTATATACCTTAATATATCTATATACACACTACATACATGACTTTTATGCTCCTTGCTGTCTTATTTCATAAAGAATATGGTCACAAACTTCTTCAATATCTGATATTTATTGTTTAAAGAGACAATGTGACACATGAAATGAGATGGGGTTTAACGTCCTACTGTTCTGCCTCGACTGGGCTAATTGAGACAGACATAAACCAGTCAGTGTGCCATGAGGGAAACTTTGTCCGGAGAGCGGTGTTACTCTTATTTCGAATTCCAACTGTCAAGGCTTCTTTATTGTTACACGGGGCCTCAGTTTTTCGTCCTATACAAACAACCAGACACCGCCCCTTGCAGACACCGTGACAGAAGGCCGTTAAATGTTTCAGTATCTAAACATGCATTACGCAAGAGCTAAATCCGCCTATTGCAGGTCTATATTTTGGCCTGATCTGTTATCTAAATTATTAATTAGACATTAATTAACTTATCCAGACCATAATCAACTCTTGATGCCATCGGATGGCTGCGGTATAAGTAGATTTAAATACGTTTTGTGATGAATGATTTAACGTAAAAATGGATAATCAGACATTTTTTATTACCAACGTAATGACAATTGAGACTAGCCTAAAATTGAATCTCTAATATCTTGCAAAGTGAAGCAATTTGACTGAAATTTTCAGCATATTCTGTTTTCATTATCTATTATTTAATTATTATAGCAAGAGTTCTTTATGTAATCTTACCTAATGCTCCTTTAAATTTAAAAAAAAAAATAGAATTGAGTTAAATGTTGCGTCGACACATTACCTCAGTCATTTTAGGACAACCCCATAGGTTATTTTTTCTATGGTGGAACTTTGCACAGGCACTGGCATTTATGTCCATAAGTACAAAATGAGAAATCTGTATAATAATATAAAACATAATCACTAATGTGTCAACATATTGTTCACAAAAAATTGCTTTGATCTATTGAGTAAGTCTTTTTCTAGAATGATTTGATTAAAGTGCCTCTCTGATTTTGAAATCGTACTGATGTTTTTTTTTGCTGTTTGGTATATATGTACATTCAACGATAATAACAGATAGTGATTGTTATCCATAGAACTGTGTTGTGTTATTATGTTCAAAACATACAAAAATTATATATAATAATATGTGGGCATCTTAGTAGTTTGGTGTGTGTGCGTTGGTTGGGGGGATGGTTAATGCATGCAGGCACTTTATACAGGTTGTTCTCTATCCATCTCTTGCAAAATGTGGACGTATCTTGCCTAACAACCACTGGTTTTTCAAATTTGGCATTATCATTACTTTCTAAGAGAGGTTGGTTGGCCCCTAGCCTACTGACGTAATGCATGATTATCGATTTCAAACAGAGGATGGAACCTATTGATTTTGGTGCATCCCCGATCCCCAGGGTTGCCATGTTGCAACCACTTTATATTTCATTTTCTTTATTTAAAAATTACTATTTCAATCGAGCAGGAATGTGGACGTATAATTCATGTCTGACATATGATCAACCTGTATCCCATGGATCCAACAATCAAACTTAAACAAGCAGAAAATGCTCATTATCGAACTCCGTAAATGTATTGATATAATGAAACTATACACCAACTAGAACCAAAGTTATTGTGTCCCATAGCAGCAGCTAATCAAATGCTCATTTTCAAACTCCATCAGGGGGATCACGTGGCTAAGTGGGTAAGACGCTGGCTCGCTAGCCTGGAGGTCTGGTGTTCGATCCCTGCATTGGCCGAGAAAGTTCATCCAGATTTTCCGGCTTGGTTTCCCCTTGTCAGTGATGCATGACGGAGGGCCTGACAAGGACAGCTTCCTAGTCATTCAGATGGTATGAAAATAATACTCATGACTTATATTTCCAATTTTTGATTCTCTGGAGCTTTTATCAATTAAGTAATTCAATATTACCGGTATATAAAATTTATTTCAATAGTTTCTGATAATATGTTTTCAATCATTTTCAATATAAACAAAAGCTTTAAAAAATATTCCTCTCATTTGTAGGTAAAAAATATAATAAACTTCTTTTCTGCATCAATTAACTAACAAAATAGATATTTTTATACAATAATTGGGAAACAATAACATCAATAATTACATAAAAAATATATAACACAGCCTTATGTAAGTTAAAGTATAAGGTATAAATGGTTCAGTGCCATTCAGTAATTGGACTGGATATACACCGGAAATAATTGTATGGATTACGATAATATTAATTTCATAAAAAATATATATTGATATCATCTAGTATTAGGAACACAGCCTTATGTAAGTTAAAGTATATAGTTGTAAATGGTACAGTGCCATTTAGTAATTGGACTGAATATGCACAGAAAACAATTGAATGGAATACGACACTACTGTTCAGTACTGAATGATATCTCCAGTATGAGACTCGACACATTGTATGTATATGGTCAATGGATCTTTAACAGTACAAGTCTCTATATACTATATGTCAATTTTCTACCAGTATCGCTTCCTGTTAACATATTTCTTCATAAAAAAAGAGGATTTTCCCTTTAAAAAATATGGATATAATTGTATGACCATTCACTGTAACTAATATTGAGATTCTTTGAGATCAGGAATTTATACTTTATATAAATGGCAATGGTAAAGATAGGTTGCCAGGCAACAAAATATACGCCCACAGCAGCTAAATCGTCCAAGCGGTTGACAAGGGTTGTCACATATTTATTCTTTTGTAGGTAATTAGGGGCATTTAATAGACAATTTAATACAGATGACATTATAATTTTCCTTGTTTAAGGGTTCACACGGTTCTAAAAAATAAAACAAGGGCCATAACACTGGAAGTAATCTACAGAACTTGTTGAAATTCGACAGGCTTTTTCGTTTTACTAATTCAAAAAATGCATAAAGATTTCATACAGATCAGATGATAACTTTTGTCGTTCGAACGTTCACAAGCTTCAACAAAGTAAAACAAGGGCCATAACTCTAGAAGTAATTGACGGAAATTGCTGACATTCAATAGGCTTCTTCATTTCACTAATTTAAATGATCCATATGAATTTCATACAGATTAGGTGATAACTTTTGTCATTCGAGCAATCACAAGATTCAACAAAGTGAAACAAGGGCCATAACTCTAGATTTAAATTAATAGAAATTTGCTTAAACTCAATAGGCTTGTTCATTTTACTAATTTAAACGATACATATAAATTTCATACAGATCAGATAATAAATTTTGTCGTCAGAGCATTCACAAGGTACAACAAAGTGAAACAAGGGTCATAACTCCAGAAGAAAATAACAGAAGTTATTGAAATTAAATAGGATTCTTCATCTCACTAATGCAAACAACATATATCAATTTCAAAACAATCAGATGATAAATGTAGTCTGTAGAGTGTTAACAAGAAATTGTGGACGACAGACGGACAGACGGGGGCGACGGCAATATACGACCATATTTCCATGTGGGCTTATAAAAATACATGAGAGTGTTACACAGATGTGTACATAATTTTTTTTTTTCAAGAAATGCACCTTTTCTCTTTAAAACAAAACAAAACAAACATACACTGTGCAATGCAATGGGTGCAAATATATAGAGATCCAAGGATTAAATGATTATCAATGATTACAAACAATTAACTTAAAGATTATGTAAGAAGTGAATAAAGAGCTGGCCGTTCTTGCTATAATAGATAATGCAAAATGAATATATTAAAAATGTCATTCAAATTACTTTATTCTTATAGAAGTTATCTCTGAAGTTTTGACAAGATGTGGCATAGATTATCATCGTAGCAATGGTACTTGTTAACTAAGACTAAGCCTCGTTTCACCATTTTTAAATTAAATCTTTAAATGGCAATTGTGTTCAATCCATTTAAATCTCTGCCATCCGATGCTCTAGAGAGTTGATTATTGGCTTGTCATGTGAATAGATGTCTAAATAATAGTTTACATAACATTTGAAGCCAAAATAAAGACCTAGCAATAATGCATCTTTAATATAATTTCTTTACAAAACAGTAAATAGACATTCTAATTATGTCTTAAGTTATTTTCTTTTTATCAAAAATACTAGATACAAGTTAATAATAATGGGGCCCATATGAAATTCTATTGATCAAATTTTCTTGCACCATGCCATAAGATACAAGATAATAATAATAATGGGGCCCATATGAAATTCTATTGATCAAATTTTCTTGCACCATGCCATAAGGTTAATAAACTGAATCTCAAGTAATGCATATGATTTACACATTTACACAATGTTACCTTAAAGACATAAATTTTATGGTGATATGTTCTATCTGCACATCTTTAGCCCATATTTACAAAAATCTCTTCCACACATTAACAATTGGACATCATCATTTGATAAATGAACACAAAATATTTTCAATTTCATAAACTAATACAACTTTCTAAGAACATTCTTTGCTTAAAATATGGCAGGATATATCTACAATTATGGAGATTTCATATTTTGCATGTGTAAATTACTAATAAAACTATATATACAATTTAGCTATTAAAAACATTACCATTCATTCAACAAATCATTCCCAATTTTAACAGAAACAATACCCTCCAATAACATATTAATTATCTCTTCTAAAATAATCACAGATACTCCATCATTGCACACATTTTCACTTATCTAAAAAGCAAACAACCAACCATTGCTACGATCCTATAGATTGAAAAAATGAAAACTGTCTAGATGTTCCACTCGGACTAGATCTATTTTGTCGAGAAACACTATCCACAGAAACACTTCTACGAAAAACAGAGGATTTAGCACCCTTCACTAAAACAGATTCATGACTTTGAGCAAGAATGTTTAGAGCAGCTTCATAATTTGGTGGGGGTGTCATTGGTTCATCAGAAGATGAGATTCGAGTCTAGAAAACAAAATAAAAGATTAAAAAATAAAATAAAATTGTCAAGCTACAATTCAACTAGGAATATTCATATTAATTCCATCGAAAGAAATATAGTAGATTTAAAGTCAATTATTAGATTACATTTATCTTATATATTTGTGATATTCATGAAAGGATGAAAAGTACAGTAATGGAATGTTGAACCATATGATTGGCATGTCAAAAGTTAAGGAACAATCTACGAGAACCAGGTTGATACATATCTTGAATAAATTATTGTTGGAACTGCTTTTGTTGTTAGTCATAGTGAGGCATGTGCTATGAATTAATTGCACCCATCCCATGCCTCATATTGTTATCTTAATCACTGAAATATTTTGAAATAAACTTGACATGACCAGGGCATTTTGGGACTAAAAGAACATTTGTGGTCAACTCTATTCTTCAATAGAAAAACAAGCCAACAGTGAGGCTGATGTCCCCTGCCGAAATCCCCCCCCCCCCCAAAAAAAAACAACATTTGTAACATATTAATCAATTGCACATTTATCTTTTTCAAAAGTACACTGTATTGAGTAATCAAACTGTTTATCTATGCTTAGTCTAAGCATAAAATGTTCATTATTAAACTCAGGTTTTGAAGTACCTGGTAGTGAGTAAAACTATACACTAAGTTTCAAAGTTATCTTGTCCCAAAGCATCGACCAAAGAAATAGCTTAGCTCTGCTTAGCTTTAATGGGAAATATTAATCATTGAACACAGTCAAGACGTTCGCCTAATGAACATCTATACCTCAATTATTGTTATGTTCCAAAGTCTTGACCAATCAAATTGCTTATCGCTACTTAGCCTAAGCAGAAAATTCTCATCATCGAACTTAGTCAATGTATTGATATAATGAATCTATACTCAGAATTTCATCACTCTCACCCAATTAGAACCAAAGTTATTGTGTTCCAAAGTCTCCACCAATCAAATTGCTCATCTCTGCTTAAAAAGAGTGGAAAATGCACATGCACATGTCAATGCATTCACGTAATAGACACCTACACCAATTTTTAACATTCGACCTCAATTAGAAGGAGAGTTATTGAGTTCCAAAGTCTTGACCAATTGGATTGAAGTCTCTACTTTGCCTAAGCAGAAAATGCTCAGCATCGAACCTTGTTAAGGTATTGATGTAAAAAAACTGTACACGAAGTTTCACCACTATCACTCAATTAAAATCAAAGTTATCAAGCTCCAAAGTCTAGACCAATCAAATTGCTTATCACTTTGCTTACCCTAAGCCGAAAATGCACTCATAATCAAGGTATTGATGTGTTGAAACTATAAACCAAGTTTCATCACTCTCACTTAATTAGAACCAAAGTTAGTGTCCCAAAACATCAATTAATCAAATTGTTTATCTCTGCTTGCCCTAAGCAGAAAATGTTCATCTGTGAACTCCATCAAGGCATTCACCCAATCAACGCCTACACCAAGTTTGAAGGAGAGTTATTCTGTTCCAATGTCTCGACCAATCAAATTGCTTATCGCTCTGCTTACCCTGAGCAGAAAATGCTCATTATTGAACTTAGTCAGGGTACTGATGTAATGAAACTAAAAACCAAATTTCATCACTCTCACTTAATTAGAACTAAAGTTATCATACCCAAAAAACATTAACCAATCAAATTGCACATCTCTGTTTAGCCGAAGCAGAAAATGCTCATCTTCAAACTCTATTAAGGCATTTACCTAATAAACACCTACACCAAATTTGAACATTTTAGCTCAATTAGAAGGGAAGTTACTGTGTACCAAAAAGTGTGACGGACAGACAAACGAACCCATTTTAATAGCCACCTTCTTTCTTTGAAAGGCGGGGGACCAAAAACTCATATGTGATACCAGACAGTGTTCTCCGATTGCTCACTACAATGCTAGAGTTATCTTCCTGTTTAAATTATGACTTAAAATTAAAATGTCGTCATATGGCCGAACCATCACACAGTTTAGAATAAGTTGATTACTGAACTTGCCTGTCTTTGAGATTGAGGTGTTGCAGGATAAAGACCAGATGTTATAACTTCATCATAAGGTGGTGGTGGATTATACAAAGATGCATTATCTCCTTCCCCTAATCCAGCTTCAAACATTGCTAAAAATATATATACACACGTATATGTATATCAAGATTGAAATAAGTTAGAAGAATAGATTAATAATTTAGGATTACAGCATTAGATAGTGTTTGCCCCTGCAATCTTGAAATGAAATGAAATGGGGGGGTTCAACGTTCTACTGTTCTTCTCCGACTTGGCTAATGAAGACGGGCATATGCCATATAGTGTGCTTTGAGGGAAATTTTGCCTGGACAGCAGTGCTACGTCCTAGCCTTATATCAAATTCCAACCGTCAAGGTATCTTTTATCCTGATGAACTTTCTCGGCCAATGCAGGGATCAAACACGAAACCTCCAGGGTACCGACCCAAAGTCTTACCCGCCGAGCCACCATGGCTCCCCTGCAATCTTGAACTATACTTTTTATTCTCTTTGCACTTAAGAAAAATTTAATAAGAATAATTTAGCTACATGTCAATTCAGCTAGTCAACTTTGTAACAGATTGTCTACCACTAATACAAACAAACACACCCACAAAAAGGTATTTGTATTAAAAACTAAATCTTGTTATGACTTGAATTGAGTATTCATTCCAAAAGTAGATTGCTCCAGAATATTACTATAAAAATAAATCTTTTAGAAGGTGCCCTTTAAATTATATATTTTGTACAATGTTGGTGTCATTTTAGTTACATGTGAGAGAGAGAGAAATGGGGTTTAACGTCCACTCGACACAAACTAGGTCATCTCGGGACTAACATATGGGTTAATTTTATTTCCATAATTCGCTTGCGCGTAGGGGTCTTTAGCAGTGGGAGGAAACCGGAGGACCCGGAGAAAACCCACGAGGTTGGACAGGCGCCCCCTACTCCTTGCCACGTACAACCGGGGATTCGAAACCACGCCAGTCGACTCAATGACAGACTGTATGATACAGCGCGCGCACGCTAACCATTCAGCCATCCAACCCCCCTCAGTTACATGTAATTAAAGGACAATATTGGTGTCAGTCATTATCACATAATGATAGAACTGGTTAAACACGTTCCAAATATAATTTTAACACACAAATCATTGCTGTGATAGATGTGTAACAAAGATTTGAAAAAACGGGAAGTGACGCAAAAAATGGAAAACAAGAATTGACTGTCACTAGATAAAACAAAAAAAATAGAAAACGTCTGTGCATTACCATGTGATTATTAGGTATAGAATGAATAGAAACAAAGGAATGTACGGGCCTTTTCAATTTTTCTCATTTTCTCTTATCTCGTGACAGTCAATTATTTTTTTGAATTGTCAGATATCCTCTCACAGTCTCATACAACAACTTTTCATCTTCAATGGAATTATCAGTGCGTTGAAATTCGATCGTGTATTTGTTATTGCTCATAATTCCTTTAGTCGGTTATATATATGGATAACTCATGTTTTCCATTTTTTGCGTCACTTCCTATTTCTTCAAATCTTTGTTACGTATTTACCGTAGCAATGATCTGTGTGTTAAAATTATATTTGGAATGAGTTTAACCAGTTCTATCACATATGTGATAAGGAGCCACGGTGGCTAAGTTTGTTTGAGTTGGTCTATCACCAAGATATTTGAAATTGCAGATTTTATATACTTACAGTCTCTGTTAGTTGTGTTAGTTCGAGTTTGTGTTTTTTGTTGAAAGCAATATAAAATAATGAGAAATATCACAACAGCCATTCCAACAACTATCATTATCAGTATGGTATTCTGATTCATAACTTCTTCTTCTTCTGTTAATAAAGTAAAAGAAAGACCTATTATACATTTAAATACATATCAAGCTAGATCAGTATAACCACACAATTATGTTCAATCCTGTATTCTTGAATAAGATACTTCTTTCCTGTATTCCATGTATTAGTAGAACAATTCATAGTAAATTTAATCTAACATGATTTTGAGTTGACAGAAATACAATCGACTGACATGGAATTGAGTCCAATAACAGTTTTGTCAGTCATGATAACAGCCCTGTCTGGGAATATAATCATGGTTGTGAATATAAATATGATGTGATCAAACATAGGTTTATGTTTTAAATATGTGAAAGGTTGATATTTTATCATATCCAGTTGACCATATGCCTTGTCATAAGCTATTCTCTTCTCATATCAAATGTAATTCAACGTGGTCGTGCATCATGTTGCTCTTTGCAGAAAAAAAAAAACGCCCAGCGAGTTAATATAACAATTATTTTATGTACCACAGATGGCTAAAATATGATATATTTAAGCATGATCTCAATTCATAAACCAAATCCCAGTTAAATAAACTAGCAAGTACAATAAACAATGGTTAGGCAACACCAACTATTAAACCCGCTCCTGCCAAACTAAAAATATGCCAACTTTGATAGAAGAAAGAATGAAAACCATAAAACTTGAAACTGCTAAATTCATTTTAAGTTTCAATAAATTTTCTCAAAAATAAAAATTGTATAAACCTGTCTTCCTCCTGACTGCATCCTTCTGAGGTTCACACGCTGCTGGTTTGGCTAATGGTAGCACCGGCCCTAGGTGCAAGTCAACAACATTCAGTGGTGTAGGATGAGGACCTGGCAGGGAACAGAGTCTAGCCATTCGACTGAGATCATAAAAAAGAGGTCATGTATACGCGTATTCAACATTTTTAAGATTGCAAGAATATGTCTTACCACAGAGAGCATTTTTAAAAATACAACTTCCATCAGCACATAATCGCTTAGTTTCCAAATCACATGGTTCGGTAATTTCCTCATCTTTATCTGTGGAAGTGGTTTGAAAGCTGACATCGATAGGATTAAAACTCATTGTTGTTGTCAATAAGCTAGTGATAGGATTTCTTTCTTTCTCCGTCTTCTGTAGTTGGACAAAACTTAAATTACATTTCTTGTTTTCTGGCAGTCTAAAATAGAGAGAGAGAGAGAGAGAAATGGGGTTTAACGTCCACTCAACACAAACTAGGTCATTTCGGGACTAACACATGGTTCAATTTTATTTCAATAATTCGCTTGCGCGTAGGGGTCTTTAGCAGTGGGGGAAACCGGAGGACCTGGAGAAAACCCACAAGGTTGGACAGGCGACCCTACTCCTTGTCACGTACAACCGGATATTCGAAACCACGCCAGTTGACTCAATGACTGGCCTTATGATACAGCACGCATGTGCTAACCATACGGCCATACACCCCCCCCCCCCCTTCTAAAATAGAAATCATGCTTTCAGGTCAAGGATATTTCAACTGCATGCTGTTATCCTTTCCCTTAGACTAAACTCCAGGTAGGCCTATGTATATTATATTGCAATAATTCTATGAGGTTTTTTTTCTACTCAAGCCCCCAGTCTTTAGATTATATTGCAATAATTCTCAGGCGCGGATCCAGGATTTTTTGCAGGGGGGGGTCTAGGTTGGATAATTGCTTAAGGCGCTAAACGTTGTAACGGGGGATCTGGGGGCTCTCCCCCAGAAAAATATGGTAAATTAGATTCAATTTGGTGCATTCTGACGTATTTCCGGAAGGTAAATTCCCAAATTACAGGTCTAAAAATCGACAATAAAATCGCATAAAATGTCCTTAAAATGTTGATGGGGAATGCTCCCTTCACAGTTGAGGATTGATGATGAATTTAGTTTATTGTTAATCTCTAATTACCCGATTTTAAACACATGTGGTGTTACGTCTCACGCAGCAATTGTTTTAAATGCACGTATAAAAAAGTCTTACGAATGACGACCTGTCGGAAGTATCAATTGGTCCCGACGGCAATTTATTCTGTCGACGTTTCTGGCTAATTGCCAGAGCTGTATGTGACTATTTGGTTTTGCCCACAAGGGAATGAAAGTCATGACTCAACTCAATGTATTCAAACTCGCAATTTTTGTGTCAGATTCAGGCTTTTAGATATAAGTTTCTCGGACCCTTCAAATTTTCAAGCCTGATCAGCAGGGGGTGGGGGGGGGGCGGACCCCCTGGACCCCCCATCTGGATCCTTTAATACTGTTTAGTTCCGCTCATTGTCATGTATAATAAAAGACATGTTCTGGCCAGCCTGGGACAGTGAGAATAAAACAGAAGTGAAATTAGAGCCTAATTGTCATTTAGTCAATTCACAGATTGAATTTGATAATATAACTTATAATGTAATAATGGAAACAATTTCACTAACCCATTATCATATCAAAAGTATCCATATATATGTAAATTAAATATAGGCACTATTATTAATAAAATCACAGCACAAAATTGTTCGTTACCCACACTGTGCCGTAGGCCTACGTAGCATATATGGAGAGATGACAAGAAAGAAAGCGGATATGATGGTGGGATTGTCAACGTAATGCTATTTACTGTATGTAAATTTATCTACAACTGTACAAAGTGTTTGTCCGTGTGCAATATACGACAGATAACCCCACGCACCAATGTCATATGAAGTGTAAGGTCAATACATGTTGACAACCGACAGTAGATACGTACATGAAATTGTAAACTAATCTAACTGTACTGATTATTGACGCAATATTATACAAAACCGGTATTATTGGTTGACCAGTCAATCAGTGGTAGCCAAATTTCTTCCCATAAATAGCCTTAATGACCTTCACCTTTTTGAACAAAGTTATTAAAAATTAATGGCGTCGTCTTCTTTTTGGCGGTAAAATTAGAATTCTCCAGGAGATATTTATATTTAATCCACTGGTTGCAATTTTATATCATTTGTTTTGATACACATTGGATTGAGAAAGGGAGTTGTATTTGTACAAGTAGAAGTGAAGAAGCCTGCTACATATATAGGCCTATTATTGATAAAATTCTTTATAGGGCCTATTCGAAGTCTCCATTAAACATCTGACGTTAGTACTGATAGCCTATCGCATTAGCAGGCGTTCTTTTACATAAACTGTTCCAGTCCCGTATTTATGAAAGTGAGCCGCGATGGCTCAGTGGATCCTAACTGGCGTAAGGCGCTGGATCCTTAACCAGGAGTTCCGGGGTTTAATACTTTTGCCCGTCTTCATTAGCCCATTATAGGAGCAGAACAGCAGCCTAGCTAGGACGTTAAACCCCATTTCATTTCATTTAATACTTTTGTTGGCCAAGAAACTTCCCCAGTTGTTCCAGCGTGCGTTCTCCTTGTCGGTGTTAAGAAACGGGGTAAAGTCGTTCGGGTGGGATCAAAAATTGAGGTTACGGGTATTCTACATTAAATTGGCATGCATTCCTAGCGCAGTGCATGGTGTAGGCCTATCCCCGTCTTTATAATCCCGGTTGGAGCAGAAATCCTTTCACCCATTCATTAGGTCTATATTGAGGCCCGATCGATTGCACCATTTACAAGAAAATAATAATTAAAAACATGTTGATGTTTACCTCCATGGACCCATATCGCACACTTTCCACAGTGTATTTTTACTCTGTGGACTTTCTTTTATAGTTCAAGCCCCATAGGCCTATTTATGAAATAAAATTTCTCCCTATGGTGTGTATGTGGGGGTTGGGGGCCTCTGCGTGAGTTCGGGGTTCGATCCGTTGTTGGCCGGGAAAGTTCCCCAGGTTGTTCCACTGTGCACTGACAAGAAACATGGTCTAGTCGTTCGCATGGGAAGAAAAGCCTTGAGCATGGACGTAAAAGAAACCCCGTCAGTTGGAATTCAGTTGCTGTCCGGGCAAAAATTCCCCCGCACAGTGCATGGCGTATCCCCGTCTTTATAATCCTGGTTGGGGCAGAAATTTATGTCACTCATTCATTATTGCTCCATTATTACGTTTTTACGAAAATAATTATTAAAATCATTCTTTTTAGAACCATCTCACACAGGGGAGCACAAACATATTTTCCGGGGTGGAGGGGGGGGGGGTAATCTAAAAATCGGCCACTCTGCATTAGAAAATCAATTATTACAGCCATGCAGTTAGTAAGGAGAGAGAGAGAGAGAGAGAGAGAGAGAGAGTTTAACGTCCACTCTACACAAACTAGGTCATTTTGGGACTAACACTTAGTTCAATTTAATTCGCATGTGCGTAGGGGTCTTTAACAACCGGGGAATCGAAACCTCGCCAGTTTACTCAATGACAGACCTTATTATACAACGCCCACGCGCTAACCCCCCCCCCCCCCCAGTGAGTATAGCATTATGTAATATTTAAATGACTCAGTTGAATATTGATTTGTAGGCCTTATTTAATTGGTTTCATTGAATGTTTAAGATACTCCGGCAAACCGGTTCAATTTTCTGGACTTAAGCGCCCCCCACCCCCCTGTTCTGCGCCTCTGATTTCACATTCATGTTAGCTTAACTATATTGTTTTCTAAGCTTGTATTATTTTGTTATAGGCTACTTCTTTTGTTTTGCTGTGATCGGATCTTTTCTGTCATATTCTTTATTTTTTATAATAGTAATAAATTCTTGTTTCGTATGGAACCGAATCGTTGTCATATTGAAATATTGAAATTCGACATCCCAAAAAGCAGAATGATTTTAAATGTTTTAAATTTTTATCCACTAGAAATTTCAGTGGAAGAAATTGTTGACTAGAAGGTAAAAAGGGTTTTTTCTCCCCAAAATATATTATATTATTAATTTTTTTTTTTTTTTTTTTTTTTGGTGTGTTGACTTGACCCGTCTTCCCGAAAAATCTGCTCGTACGCCTATATGGACACATTCCAATATTTCGGTAAATAATGTACTAGAATGCCAAAACCAACATCATTTTGTATGATAGGCTACACCACTTCGTTTCTTCGTTATGGTTCTGGCTTGGGTGGGAAAAAGAGTATGCAAGAATTATAAATAGGCTCCGATATAATCGAAGCTAAAAACAAACACATCCGATAGGCCATAATAATGATTATTGTCTGATGACCAGATAGGCTAAACGTTTTTTAGCAAGTCTTCGTGGCTAGGCTTAAACCGGTACAATCCAGCCACATGGTTTTAGACTATCATCAATATCATGAGTGTTCAACAAACATCTTCGCCAGGGAAAATGGTATATAATAGGGAAAAAAACCCATTATAAGTATATAATAATAAAACAGTGGAACCAGGAGGCATAGATATCCAACAAAAAACAAAAACAAAACAAAACAACAATTCTGTGGATATCCCAAGATATCTCATTCCTGAAGCATCAATTGCTGGTTTTACAATGTAAGATGATAATATTAATATAAGTACCGAGTTAAGCGAGATCGGGAAGATATCGAGGGTTTAGAACATAATTGTGATAAGTCACAATGCTTGATATATTGACTTATCACAATTATGTTCTAAACCCTCGATATTATAATTGGAATTCAGCGACTCAACCGCGAGGCTTTGGAGTTATCTTCCTTAAATACAGAGGTCGCCCTTTTCCATTTTTAGCCTTCAACTATCAAGTTTAAAAGACAAATCAGCGGTGGTCAGTGATTGAATGACATTTGGAAAGAAAAGACGATAATTGCCGTATACTAGAAGTGATGGGTTGCAATTCTAGTTCTCAGTCGCTAAAGGGAAAGGTATTCGAGCATGAACAAAATTATGCACAACATAAAATTGATTCACTCATAAAGACGAGCTATAGTCTAGATAGTCATTATATAATCAAGGTAGGCCCAAAAAACTATAATAATCAAGAGGTGAGGTAGGCCTAGCTACCGGTAGAAAAAAAAAGTCTGAAATGTTTGAAGTCAATTAATTTCAATGATGTAGTTGTAGGCATAGATAGACAATACCGTAGGCTAAATTGCCTATTTCGCTGCTTCATTTTTATGCGCTACTGTGTACATAATTAATTATAACCATGACAGCTATGTCGGCTAGAATAGGCCTATATGATTATAACTCTAACGTAACGTAACTATCCATCCAGTTGAGTTTAGTACTATTACTTAGTAAATAATATATTTCCATTTGCCCGTTCACATTTTCTTGTGGACACAAGTTTTTTTTATTCCGATTGTGACGCTATTCCGGTAATATTAACGGCTCATGAGAACATTATTAATGAAAGGGAGATAAATCCACTTAATTATGTAAACATTCCCTGAAAACTGTAAGGCAAGTTCATTTAATATGTTAATGTACATTTTCAAAAGTTGGATTAGGCCTAGTAACCAAATATATTTCTTCAGTTCAGACTACTCAAAGTTGATAAAGTATAAAGTTAGTATTGGATTTTTCAATAACCTCAAATACCTGTCTGTTGCCAGATGTGCACAATCAATTAAAAAATGCACTTCGTCCTCAACTTGAACTTTCCCTTTCACTTCAGACATTTTTATACGCCCACATTTTCATGTGGACGACTGGAAGTATATTTTCGTCGCCCCTGCCCGTCCGTCCGTACGTCCGTCCGTCCACAATTGTTTGTGGTCACTCTACCGGTCACAATTCTTGATGAAATTTGAAATATAGGTTTATCTCCAAAAGATCTCGGCTGCTTTAGATATTGGCATGTATCGGATCGAAATTTCATGGATTATGGCCCCTCACTGTTTGTACGAAAAATCACGTTTTTGTGGACCCAATAGAGGTCACAATTTTTATCCGATTTTGTTGAAACTTGGAATGTAAGTTTGTAACCCAAAGATCTCGGTTCCTTTCGATATTCGCGCATATCGGACGGTAACTTCCTGAATTATGGCCCCTGATTGTACGAAAAATCACGTTTTTAGCTTGTGAACCCTATAAAGGTCATAATTTTTATCCGATTTAAAAAAACGTATTATTATATATATCAAGGTTGTGGACCCTATAGAGGTCACAATTTTTATCCGATTTTGTTGAAACTTGAAATGTAAGTTTATAACCCAAAGATCTCGGTTCCTTTCGATATTCGCGCATATCGGACCGTAACTTCCTGAATTATGACCCCCTGATTGTACGAAAAATCACGTTTTTAGCTTGTGGACCCTATAGAGGTCATAATTTTTATCCGATTTAAAAAAAAAACGTATCATTATATCACCGTTACACCCTAAGGACGGCTGAGTTCGAATTTCGTGAAAATCGGCCCAAAACTGACAGACAAAATGGCCGCCCTTCGTTCTCAAATAGCGTAAAAATATGGTATATCAAGGTTGTGGACTCTATGGAGGTCACAATTTTAATCCGATTTTGTTGAAACTTGAAATGTAAGTTTGTAACTCAAAGATCTTGGTTCCTTTCGATATTCGCGCATATCGGACGGTAATTTCCTGAATTATGGCCCTTGATTGTAGGAAAAATCACTTTCTTTTTAGCTTGTTCTCTATCCATCTCTCGAAAATGTGGGCGTATCCTGCCTGGCAGCCGCTGGTTCACAGAGGCGTGATACACAATTTAATCCTGATATACCTACCAGTTTCTATTTTGAGCCTATGTGAAGATATTTTGAGCTTGTTGATATCCCTTCGAAATTCATATTTTTAAAATCAAGGATTGATAATTTTATGACATATTTGACCAGCAACTTTTTCAAATAGGTCTTAAAATGTA